TGAGGGAAACAATGGAAGAAAGGGACTTAGTAGATATATACAGGACACTTCATCCTCAAAAAGCTGAATAAACATTCTTCTCAACCGTACATGGAACATTCTCCAAGATAGAGCACATGCTGAGCCACAAAACATGCCTCCAAAAAATTAAGAAGATAGAGATTGTATCGACAATCTTCTCAGACCATAATGCGCTGAAATTAGAAGTAAATCACATACAAAAACAGAAAACTAAATCAAACACCTGGAAATTAAACAGTGCTCTTCTGAAGAACGAGTGGCTTAGACAGGAACTCAAAGAGGAAATCAAAAGATTCCCAGAAACGAATGAAAATGAGGACACGAGTTACCAAAACTTATGGGACACAGCAAAAGCTGTGTTAAGAGGTAATTTTATAGCTCTACAAGCATTCCTCAGGAAGGAGGAGAGAGCACACATGAGTAACCTAACCTCACAGCTTAAGAGCTTGCAGAAGGACCGAAAAAAAGGAGCACAACCCGAATAGGAGAAAGGAAATAATAAAACTCAGAGCAGAGATTAACGAAATGGAAACCCAAAAAACAATCCGAAACATCAATGAAACCAAGAGCTGGTTCTTCGAGAAAATTAACAAGATTGATAAGCCTCTAGCAAAACTCACAAAGAAAGGGAGAGAGAAAACCCTAATAAACCGAATCAGAAATGAAAAGGGGGTCATTACAACAGAAACTACAGAAGTTCAAAGGATCCTCAGGGAGTACTTTGAGAAACTTTATGCCATGGAACATCAAAACCTCGAGGAAATGGATAAATTCCTAGATTCCTACAGACTCCCAAGACTGAACCAAGAAGACCTGGAATACCTGAACAGACCAATCACCATCAAGGAAATTGAAATGGTAATAAAAAGTCTCCCCAAGCACAAAAGTCCTGGTCCGGATGGATTCACTAGTGAATTCTTCCAAATCTTTAAAGAGGACTTACTCCCAATCCTCTTTAAGCTTTTCCACGAAATTGAAATACCAAGCACACTTCCGAACATTTTCTACGAAGCAAGTATCACACTGATACCAAAAGCAGACAGAGATACCACAAAGAAAGAGAATTACAGACCGATATCTCTGATGAACACAGATGCAAAGATCCTCAACAAACTTCTAGCAAATAGAATCCAACTACTCATCAAAAAGATCATACACCATGACCAAGTAGCATTCATCCTAGGGATGCAAGGATGGTTCAATATTCGGAAATCAATGAACATAATAGATATATATATCATATATATCAACAAAAGAAAAGATAAAAAGCATATGATTATATCAATAGATGCTGAGAAAGCATTTGACAAGATCCAGCACCGCTTTATGATGAAAACCCTAGCCAAAATGGGTATAGAGGGGACCTTCCTCAACATAATTAAAGCCATCTACCACAAGCCTACAGCAAGCATCATCCTCAATGGGGAAAAACTGAGAGCCTTCCCTCTAAGATCAGGGACGAGACAAGGATGCCCACTCTCTCCACTGCTGTTCAATATAGTACTGGAAGTACTTGCAATAGCAATTAGCAAGAAAAAGATATTAAGGACATTCAGGTAGGAAAGGAAGAAATCAAGCTCTCACTATTCGCAGATGATATGATACTCTACTTAGAGAACCCTATAACCTCCACCAAAAAACTCCTAGAAACAATAGACTCGTATAGAAAATCAATACCCAAAAATCCATGGCATTCGTATATGCAAAAAGTGAGAGAGAAGAACGCAACATGAAAAAAACAATCCCATTCAGAATTGTGCCCCAGAAAATCAAGTACTTAGGAATCAGCTTAACTAAGGAAGTAAAGGACCTGTACAAAGAAAACTACAAAACGCTACTTCAGGAAATAAAAGAGGACATGAGGAAATGGAAAGATATCCCCTGCTCATGGGTCGGGAGACTTAACATTGTCAAAATGGCAATACTACCGAAAGCATTGTATAAATTCAATGCAATCCCTATAAGGATACCCACGACATTCTTCAAAGAAATGAAGCAAACACTCCTGAAATTTATAAGGAACAATAAGCCCCCACGAATAGCTAAAGCAATTCTTGGGAAAAAGAAAATGGGAGGAATCAACCTCCCGAACTTCAAACTCTACTACAAAGCAGTAATGATTAAAACAGCATTGTACTGGAATAAAGGCAGAACTGCAGACCAGTGGAACAGGGTTGAATACACTGACATCTCCCCTCAATCATATGATCATCTAATCTTTGATAAAGGTGCAATTAATGTGAAGTGGAGTAAGGAAAGCCTCTTTAACAAATTGTGCTGGCATCACTGGACGGCTACATGCAAAAAATGGGCTCAGAACTCTGCCTAACACCGTGTACAAAAGTAAGATCAAAATGGATTAAAGACCTCAACATCAGACCAGAAACCATAAGGTACATTGAAGGCAAAGTTGGCAAAACCCTCCATGACATTGAAGCTAATGGTATCTTCAAAGATGCCACGCCACTGGCCGAGCAAGTGAAAACAGAGATAGATAAATGGGACTATCTTAAACTAAGAAGCTTCTGCACCTCCAAAGAAACAGTGACCAAAATACAAAGACAGTCTACAGAATGGAAAGGATATTCACCCAATACCCATACGACAAGGGGTTGATATCCCGGATATACAAAATACTGGTTAAACTCCACAAGAAGAAAACATCCAACCCCATCCAAAAATGGGGCAATGAAATGAACAGAAACTTTTTCAAAGAAGAAATCTGAATGGCAAAAAAGCACATGAGAAAATGCTCTACATCATTAATCATATGGGAGATGCAGATCAAAACCAAAATGAGATACCATCTCACACCTCAGAGACTGGCCCACATTCAAAAGAACAAAAGCAACAGATGCTGGTGTGGATGTGGCGAGAAAGGGACACTCCTTCACTGTTGGTGGGAATGTCTACTGGTTCAGCCCTTCTGGAAAACAGTATGGACGATTTTCAAAAAATTAGAAATTGAGCTCCCATTTGACCCAGCAATACCACTCCTGGGAATATATCCCAGAGAGGCAAAAATGTATAGTCGAAGTGACATCTGCACTTGTTTGTTCATTGCAGCACTCTTTACAATAGCCAGAAACTGGAAGAAACCTGAATGCCCACGAACAGATGACTGGTTAAAGAAACTTTGGTACATCTACACAATGGAGTACTATGTAGCTCTTAGAAAAGATGAAGTCATGAAATTTACATACAAGTGGTACAACATGGAACGTATCATGCTAAGCGAAATGAGTCAGAAAGAGAGGGATAGACATAGAAAGATTGCATTCATCTGGGGTATATAAAGTAACAAAATAGGAGATTAATACCCAAGAATAGCTGAGATCAGCACCAGGAGGATTACTCCATAGCTTAGTGGCCAGTCGGGCATTCTAGAGGAAAGGGCAGCTCAGACAGAGAAGGGAACACCAAATAAAGGGTGTTTGGAGGACCCTCCCAGGAGGGGAGATGCATGTCGAAAGTGGACTATGGACTGAACATGTTTGCCACTCAATGCCTCTTTTTCAGACCACAACACCCAAAAGGAGAGAGAGAACACAGGGGATTGCCCTGCCACAGAGGCAGGGGGTGATGGGGAATGGGGGTGGGGGGGATATTATCCATGGTGGTGGAAAATGGGCACTGGTGGAGGGATGGGTATCTGATCATTGTATAATCAAACCCAAGCACAATAAATTGTAAATCTACAACTGTAACTCATGGTGTTTCACTAATAAAAAAAAAATTAAAAAAAAATAGTAAAATTGTGGGGACAGAGAGAAAGAGTGCAACAGAGTACAGCAGTTAAGGATGCTTCCTTGCATGTGAAGCGCCTAGCTTGATTCCCCATACCATACACCCAAGCCTCACCAGAAGTCATCTCTGTACACAAAGCCAGGAGTAAGACCTGACTACCACCAGTTGTGGGCTCCCCAACTCAGAAATAAGTGAATTGGCTGTCCATATTCTGGTAACTTTAATTTGTGGCTCTGTATTGTATTCCACTGGTTCATTTTTGTTGATATATTTTGTTTTTAATTTCTTATTTCTCTTAAAATTTGCAATTATTTACTAAATCAATAGGGCATCAAATTCTAATGGTAGGTTCATAGAGCAGTTAGCTTTAGCTGCACAATAAAGTACTGTAAAACATAATGATTGAAAATCCTCTTGGTTAAATTCACAGTTCTGTGGCTATTATTAAGTTAGTCATCTGCGGTCAGTGGAGTTGGATGCTTTATAGTCCTCTTATGCATTTGTCCTATTTGTCATTTGGCTGAAGCCTAAGTTTCTTTTAAAAAAGATGCTTCTGGAGAAACTTTTGCCAGTGGTGCTTGTGGTTCACCAGGGCTATAACTGGCAGTATTCAGTGGACCACTTGGTGCTGGGGAGATAACTCAGAATTTTGTGCACCCTAAGCATATGTTTACCATATAAGTATGTGTTGTTTTTTTTCATATGGCTGGGGTTATAGGATAAGAATGAAATGAGAGTTGGTCCACTGCTGAAAGCAATGTACTCATGTACCATTGCCAAAATAGGTCAATATTCAACCCAAGTGCTTTTCTATAGGAGAGTTCTCAAAAGGGAGAATATTTAATAATATTTTCTTTCCTATACTTATACTATACTACACATACAGAGATGCAGGCTAGTAACATGTGCTGTGTATGGTCACTCTAAACAATTTATACCGTGGTCCTCTATGGAATTAATTTTATTACATTTTAGGAAAAGCAAGCCTATTTCCTGATATAATACAATATACAGTGAGTGTATCTATCCCCAGTATGTAATTTTTGGTAGACTCTACTAAATTTATTAGACCATGGTGGTGTTATGTTAGGAAATCATGTTGACAAAACTAGTTATCTTTGTTGTTTCTTTTGAGTTCGTCTTCCTCCAATTTTTCTAGCAGCGGATTAGTACTAAGATGCATATAACTCCTGATGGAGTTGGGCAGTAATAGTGTGTATGTCTTCTTCTAGGTGCCTGCCCAGCTATTGTGAACATGGGGGTGTATGTTCTCAGTCCTGGGACACCTTCTCTTGCGATTGCCAGCACACTGGTTACACAGGTGCTACATGCCATTCCTGTAAGCCTTGCAAACTGCTTAGTCTCCTTCTTCATTATTTTCCGATTTTCCTTCTCATAACTATGTTTATATGCATCTGCGCAAACATATGGTGTAAAAATGATAGCAGAAAACAGAGACTCAACTTTGAGTCTAATTTGCTTTAAAAATGGTTTTACTTAGACAAATTTGAGAAAAGAGAAAGAAAGAGACAAATGTTCAAGAGATAACATGGGCTTTCCCAGCAAGGAACAAACCTGTCTGATATACTTTTAACAAATTTTAATTTCTAATGATGTCATGACAGCTTACAGAAATACATCAATAAATAGACAAGAAAAAATAGAAGGTAAGCAGTAGTAAGTCACAGTCACGGTCCTCCCGTTGTTCATCGATTTTCTCCAGCGGGGCCAGTAACGTCTCCATTGTGAGACTTGTTACTGTGTTTGGCATATCGAATACGTCACGGGGAGCTTGCCAGGCTCTGCCATGCGGGCGAGATACTCTCAGTAGCTTGCCGGGCTCTCCGAGAATGACGGAGGAATCGAACTCGGGTCGGCCATGTTAGCTGCGTGCAAGGCAAACGCCCTACCCGCTGTGCTATCGCTCCAGCCCAAGCAATAGTAAGTAATGAAAAAAATTATAAAGTGTTTTTTTTTAAATCTAGAATATATAACTTACCCTGTTTAAATTTGAGCCAATTTTAGTTTCTGAGTTCTGTAGCAAAACAAGTTATTGGGTTTCATGATAAATTTTTATGATGATAACATACTGGAATTTACTATCTGTCCACAAATTTTAATTTATCTAATATTTAAAAGCATCCTGGAGGTAAGTACAATGATCTCCAGTTCACATTTATGAAAGAGGAAATGAGTACATGGTCAGACTGCTTTAAGACAGATCTCTTGATCTCCAGTCGATTATGTTTCTTCTGTCTTGATCGGCATTCTCTTTCCTGAAAAATAATTCTCTCAAGTTTAAAGCTAACCAAACTTGTCTGACCAGTAAATGATTAGACCCACTTATTCCTCTTAGTGGGCTGGAGCAATAGCACAGCAGTAGGGTGTTTGCCTTGCGCATAGCTGGCCTGGCCGAGCAGGGTTCAATTCCTCCGCCCCTCTCGGAGAGCCCGGCAAGCTACCGAGAGTACCTTGCCTGCACGGCAAAGCCTGGCAAGCTACCCGTGACATATTCAATATGCCAAACACAGTAGCAGCAAATCTGAGACGTTACTGGACCCGCTCAAGCAAATCGATGAACAGCTGAAGGACAGTGACAGTGACAGTGAGTTCTCTTAGTAGAGTCCTGAAATTCTCATGGTTTTCTAATTATTGGCTTTTGTCTTAGCTTCCCCTTATTTGTATAGCACTGTTCTCATTTCTTAATACATACCTTCCTTCCCTGGGACTTTAAGTAAAGAGGTAAAGGTAAAGGTAAAGGCCCTCCCGTTGATCGTCGATTTGCTCGAGCGGGCCCAGTAACGTCTCCATTGGAGACTTTGTTGTTACTGTGTCTGGCATATCCAATATTCTCGGTAGCTTGCCGGACTCTCCGAGAGGGGCGGAGGAATCGAACTCGGGTCGGCCATGTTGGCCGCTTGTAAGGCGAACGCCCTACCCGCAGAGCATGGTATAAAAATGAGCACATCCAACCACCACCAGTTCTTCTTATTAGAGGTTATGTTTCATTTCTGAGAGTTCTTCCTTAAAATTATTTAATAAATTTTACACTGTGTGGAAAGAAGGCAGCATATGAATTGACATGGTCCAGTTTGATATGGGTGGAAATTTAGGAATTTGTGTTCAGATAAGAACACTTGGTCCCCATTTTGGCAGTTCCACAGAGGAGCCCACAGCATCTTGCTGAACTTAGGGAGGTAAATAACCCCGTAAACACAAGGTAAATTCAACCAGAGTAAATTCACTTGCCTCTATTTTTTATAATGGTGTCAGGTTAGAATTTACAGGACTACTCTTCATTGGAATTGGGCTGAATAATCAGAAATTAAACGTTGAGAGATTTGGTCAGAGTCATTTGTGTTAAACAGTCAATTTCTTACTTGGATCATCCCTTGTCACATCTAGCAGATGTTTTAATCAATGACTCAATACCTGCTGAATGTTAGTGATTAAGGAATGATAGCTAAAATAATATCTCACTTTGATCTAATTATGATCTAAACAAATATGAATACAATTATGAGAGATAATAGATTTTTTCACTTGTGAAAAAATATTTTCCTAATAATTAAATTAACTTCATTGTGGTTCTCTACTGAAAAATAAAATGAGGGCCTGAGGTTTCTAGATCAGTAGTAAGAGATCATAAGCTTATTGTCTTTTGGTATGCAATAAATATTTTTTTCTCCAAGTACACAATTAGTACATATGTGCATTCACGTTAAGAACAGGTTTTCATACTCTATTTCCATAGGAAATTTCAATCCTAATCCAAATGTAACCACCGCTATCAATATTGTCTGTGTTTCCATCACTATAAGTGGCAATAATTGTGTTATTTACTTGGGAAACTCCAACCTGGACACATTGATTGATGTGTGGCTATATTTAATAAAACAGTGTTTTCTTTTATAAAATTCCTGGACAAACATTAGTTCTTAAAATTTTCCCTTTTTTGAGAGACAAACAACAGTAATTCTTGAAGCCCTCTCTGCATTTTCCTTAGCTATGGAGAGTAGTTACAGGGTTTAAAACTTTAGATCTAGAATCTCATCAGTGCAGACAGATCAATGTTCACACCCTCCTCTTATCTCTTTCCCTCCCTATCCCCCTTTCTTGGATCAGTTCAATTTAAGGATTTTCCTGTACTTTTACATGAGAGTTGGTGTGGATGCCAAATCTGATCACTAGTGTTTTAAAGTGCCAATCCAACCATGTGCCAGACAGAGCCCTGTACCATTTTCTGGCAGTCATTGAGAGCTTTACAAGTTTTCTAAAGATTATTCCTGTCCAAGAAACAAATGAGATGTTTGCAGTTGATTATTCATAAAAACTTATTCTAAATATTAAGTCTATCATCTACACATGTAAATAATTTTCTTTGTTTATAGAAAAAATTTGCTCGAGCGGCCTGGAGCGATAGCACAGCGGGTAGGGCGTTTGCCTTGCTCGCAGCGAACATGGCCGACGCGAGTTGGATTCCTCCTCCCCTCTCAGAGAGCCTGGCAAGCTACCGAGAGTATTCCATATGCCAGACACAGTAACAACAAAGTCTCCAATGGAGACGTTACTGGGCCCGCTTGAGCAAATCGATGATCAACGGGAGGGCCTTTACCTTTACCTTTAGAAAAAATTATTGGTAATATGAAAAATTCCAAAATGAATCAGGATAAACTGAAATTACAAAGAGGTTTTCACACACATTTTGTTTGAGTTCCAATTTCTTGAATAATCATTATGGATAATTTTAAGAAGCTCTGTTAAACAAGCTTTACAAAGTGAAGAAGGCAGAATTGCTCATTAGTAAAGTGCATCTTTAAAACTGCATCTTTCAAAATGAATTGTTAAAAATTCATTTCATATATAAATTGCTTTAACTAAACAAAGAGTATAACTATTGAGTAATATAAAGGAAATAAAAAATAATAGTATCTATTATTATATACTGACAGGTAAGCTAATGTGCTTCAGATACTTGGATGTATCTGAAGGTCATAAGGGATTCAGCTTCACATATCCCACAGTAATAACTCTTAAAATGTCTCAGATTCAGCTCACTGCCTAATTGCAACAGAGACCAGTCCTCTAGAGAAAATGTGCATGAGAGCAGTTCAGAGTGAGTACTGCCAGGGGAAGGCATCACACAATAAAGCTGCTAGTGGGACACAGCTCATTGTGGTGTTGTCTGAGATCATGTGTTTTGCAGCACTGTACGAGCAGTCTTGTGAAGCCTACAAGCACAGGGGAAACTCCTCAGGACTCTACTATATTGATTCCGATGGAAGGGGCCCACTGGGACCATCTCTTGTATATTGCAACATGACAGGTATTCTAATGAACTCTTTTTATAATAGTCAGAATCATAGTAATGTTTATTGTGCGCAAAATAAAATCGGGGAAAGTAGAGTTTGATTTGTGGCAGCTCTATCAAATTGTGATTATATTGTGATTGTTACTTTAATGCGATTATTCTGAAGTATTAAATATAATATTATAAGCCGATAAAGAGTAGTAATCAAAAGTTATTTGATTAATTTTGAAAAATTGTTTAGGTTAAAATTAATTATAGTCTCTACTCAATAATCTAAAAAATGAATAGATTTTATTTCTTAGTTCATGTCAACAAATGCCATAGACTTTTAAAACATGAAAAATTCCAGTTGCAATAATGTTTTTTTAAAATTTTTATTAGTGAAACACCATGAGGTACAGTTGTAGACTTACAAATTTTTGTGCTTGGGTTTCAATTATACAATGATCAAGTACCCATACCACCACCAGTGCCAATTTTCCACCACCACAGATCCCAAAATCCCTCCCACCCCATTCCCCACCCCATCCCACCCTGCCTCTGTTGCAGGGCATTCCCTTTTGTTCTCTCTCCTTTTGGGTGCTGTGGTTTACAAAAGAGGCATTGAGTGGCAATCATGTTCGGTCTATAGTCTCCATTCAGCATGCTTTTCCCATCCAGGGAGGATCCTCCCAACACTCTTTATTTGGTGCTCCTTTCTCTATCTGAGCTGCCCTTTCCCAAAGCATGTGTGGCTGGCCTCCAAGCCATGGAGTAAACCTCCTGGTACTTATCTCAGCTATTCTTGAGTGTTAGTCTCCTATTATGTTACTTTATGTTCCCCAAAAGAATGCAGTATTTCTATGTCTGTCCCTCTCTTTCTGACTCATTTCGCTTAGCATGATACTTTCCATGTAGTACCACTTGTATGTAAATTTCATGACTTCATCTTTTCTAACAGCTACAGAGTACTCCATTTTGTAGATGTACCAAAGTTTCTTTAACTGGTCATCTGTTCTCGGGCACTCAGGTTTTTCCAGATTCTGGATATTGTAAAGAGTGCTACAATGAACAAACAAGTTTAGATGTCATTTCCACTATATTTTTTTGCCTCTCTGGGATATATTCCCAGGAGTGGTATTGCTGGGTCAAATGGGAGCTCAATTTCTAGTTTTTTGAGAATCGTCCATACTGTTTTCCAAAAGGGCTGAACCAGTCGGCATTCCCACCAGCAGTGAAGGAGGGTCCCTTTCTCACGAGATCTGAGCCAGCACCGGTTGCTTTTGTTCTTTTGCATGTGGGCCAGTGTCTGTGGTGTGAGATGATATCTCATTGTGGTTTTGATCTGCATCTCCCTGATGAATAATGATGTAGAGCACTTTCTCATGTGCCTTTTAGCCGTTCAGATTTCTTCTTTGAGAAAGTTTCTGTTCATTTCATCACCCCATTTTGTGATGGGGTTGGATGTTTTCTTCTTGTGGAGTTCAATCAGTGCTTTATATATCCTTTATATCAACCCCTTGTCAGATGCGGATAGGGCGAATATCCTTTCCCATTATGTAGACTGTCTTTCTATTTTGATCCTTGATTCTTTTGAGCTGTAGAAGCTTCTTAGTTTAAGAAAGTCCCATTTGTCTATCTGTTTTTAATTGCTCGGCCAATGGTGTGACATCTTTGAAGATACAATTAGCTTCAATGTCATGGAGGGTTTTGCCAACTTTGTCTTCAATGTGCCTTATGGATTACGGTCTAATGTTGAGGTCTTTAATCCATTTTGATCTTACTTTTATACATGGTGTTGGGCAGAGATCTGAGCCCAGTTTTTTGCATGTAGCCATCCAGTTTTGCAAGCAAAATTTGTTAAAGAGGCCTTCTTTACTCCACTTCACATTTCTTGTTCCTTTATCAAAGATTAGATGATCATATGCTTCAGGGGAGATGTCAGTATATTCAGTTCTGTTCCATTGGTCTGAATCTCTGCCTTTGTTCCAGTACCATGCTGTTATAATTATTACTGCTTTATAATAGAGTTTGAAGTTGGTGAGGTTGATTCCTCCAATTTTCTTTTTCCCAAAAATTGCTTTAGCTATTCATGGATGATTATTGTTCCGTATGAATTTCAGGAGTGTTTGCTCCATTTGTTTGAAGAATGTCATGGGTGTCCTTATAGGGATCTCATTGAATTTGTACAGTGCTTTGGGGAGTATTGGCATTTTGACCATGTTAATTCTCCTGATCCATGAGCAGGGGATACCTTTCCATTTCCTTGCATGCTCTTTTGTTTCCTGAAGTAGACTTTTGTAGTTTTCTTAGTACAGCTCCTTTAGTTCCTTAGTTAAGATGATTCCTATTTTCTTGATTTTCTTTGGCACAGTTGTGAACAGGATTGTTTTTTTCATGTCACTTTCTTCTCTCTCACTATTTTCATATAGGAAAGTCATGGACTTTTGGGTATTGATTTTATAGTCTGCAACTCTACTATACAAGTCTATTGTTTCTAGGAGTTTCTTGGTAGAGGTTATAGGGTTCTCTAAGTATAGTATCATATCATCTGCAACTAGTGAGAGCTTGATTTCTTCCTTTCCTACCTGAATGCCCTTAGTATCTTTTTCCTGCCTAACTGCTATTACAAGTACTTCCAGTACTATTTTGAACAGCAGTGGAGAGAGTGAGCATCTTTGTCTCATCCTTGATCTTAGAGGGAAGGCTCTCAGTTTTTCCCCATTGAGGATGATGCTTTCTGTAGGCTTGTGGTAGATGGCTTTAACTATATTGAGAAAAATCCACTCTATATCTATTTTGGCAAGGGTTTTCATCATAAACTGGTGCTGGATCTTGTGAAATGCTTTCTCTGCATCTATTAATATGATCATATGCTTTTTATCTTTTCTTTTGTTGATATGATGGATTATGTTGATCGATTTGCGGATGTTACACATCCTTACATCCCTGGGATGAATCCTACTTGTTCATGGTGTATGATCTTTTTGATAAGTCGTTGGATTCTATTTGCTAATACTCTGTTGAGGATCTTTGCATCTGGGATATTGGCCTGTAATGCTCTTTCTTTGTGGTATCTCTGTCTGCTTTTGGTATCAGGTTGATATTTGCTTCATAGAAACTGTTCAGAAGTGTTTTTGATATTTAAATTTCATGGAAAAGCTTAAAGAGGACTCAGAGTAAGTCCTCTTGAAAGATTTGGAAGAATTCACTAGTGAGTTCATCTGGGCCAGGACTTCTGTGCGTAGGGAGATTTTTATTACCATTTCAATTTCCTTGATGGTGATAGGTCTGTTCAGGTATTTCAGGTCTTCTTGGTTCAGCCTTGGGAGTCTATAAGAATCAGGTAATTTATCCATTTCCTTGAGGTTTTCATGTTCGGTGGCATAAAGCTTTTCAAAGTACTCCTTAAGGATCCTTTGAATTTCTGTAGTTTCTGTTGTGATGATACCCTTTTCATTTCTGATTCAGTTTATTAGGGTTTTCTCTCTCCCTTTCTTTGTGAGTTTTGCTAGAGGCTTATCGATCTTGTTTATTTTCTCAAAGAACCAGCTCTCGGTTTCATTGATCTTTCGGATTGCTTTTTGGGTTTCCATCTCGTTATTCTCTGCTCTGAATTTTATTATTTCCTTCCTTCTTTTCGGGTTGGGCTCCTTTTGTTGGTCTTTCTCCAAGCTCTTAAGCTGTGAGGTTAGGTTGTTTATGTGGGCTCACTCCTCCTCCCTGAGGGATGAGTGTAAAGCTATAAACTTTCCTCTTAACACAGCTTTTGCTGTGTCCCATAAGTTTTGGGAACTCGTGTCCCCTTTTTCATTCGTTTCCAGGAATCTTTTGATTTCCTCTTTGATTTCCTTTCTAAGCCACTAATTGTCCAATAGTTTACTGTTTAGTTTCCAGGTGTTTGATTTAGTTTTCTGTTCTTGTGTGTTATTTACTCTTAATTTCAGCGCATTATGGTCTGAGAAGTTTGTTGATACAATCTCTATCTGCTTAATTTTATGGAGGTATGTTTTGTGGCTCAGAATGTGGTCTATCTTGGAGAATGTTCCATGTACGGTTGAGAAGAAAGTGTATTCAGCTTTTTGAGGATGAAGTGTCCTGTATATATCGACTAAGTCCCTTTCTTCCATTGTTTTTCTCAGATGAAGTATGTTCTTGCTAAGCTTGAGTCTGGTTGATCTATCCAGAGGTGATAAAGTAGTGTTGAAGTCTCCCACTAGTATTGTGTTGTTATCAATGTCTTTCTCCAAGTCTATGAGTAGTTGTTTTAAGTATTTTGCTGATCCCTCATTAGGTGCATATACATTTAGTATTGTGAGTTCTTCCTGTTGTACAGATCCCTTGATCAATAAGAAATGGCCTTCACTGTCTCTTGTGACCTTCTTCAGTCTGAAATCAATGTGGTCTGATACTAGAATGGCTACACCAGATTTTTTATTGGAACTGTTTGCCTGTAGGATTGTTTTCCAGCCTTTGACTATGAGCCTGTGTTTGCTTTCACTATTGAGATGTGTTTCTTGCAGGCAGAAGAATGTTGGGTTCAATTTTCTAATCCACCCTGCCACTCTGTGTCTTTTAATTGGTGCATTTAGCCCATTGACATTGAGAGAGATTATTGTTATGGGATTTTGTCCCATTTTTCTGTTGAAATTTGGTGTATTTGAGGGGCCTCTCTTGTCTTAAAGTAGCCCATTTAGTTGTTCTTGTAACCATGGTGTTGAATATATTGTAAGTTCCTGATCTGTTTTTTGTCTGTGAAACTGTATGTTGTTCCTTTTGTTATGAATGAGAGTCTCGCTAGGTAAAGTATTTTTGGTGAGGCATTTATTTAATTGAGTTTTTTATATCCCACCACTGTATTCAGGCCATGAGGGTTTTATCAGACAAATCAGCTGTGAATCTTAAGGATGCTCCTTTGTAGGAATTTTCTTTCTTTGATCTTGCTGCTTTCAGAATTTTGTCTCTATCTAATGTTTCACTCATTTTGACCAGGATGTGTCTTGAGGTATTTTTATTTGAATTTCTTCTAGCTGGTACCCTTCCGGCCTCCTGAATGTGGCCACATGTTTTCTTCAGCTCTGGAAACGTCGTAGCAATGATATCTTTGACAGTTTCTTCTTCATCAGGGTTTTGCTCCTGTCCCTCTGGGACTCCAGTAATTCTTATGTTACCCCTCTTGACTTCATCACGATCTTCTCTTGCCATCTGTTCCCGAATTGTGAGTCTCTTCTCCATTTTCTGCTCTTTTCTGGAGAGTCTCTGGACTTCATCTTTGAGCTCACTGATTCTGTCCTCAGCAGCTGTTACTCTGCTGCTGAGGCCTTCCACTGAGTTTTTCAATTCGTCTACGAAATTTTTCAGGTCTGACATTTCCGTTTGCATTTTCCTAATTTCTACCTTCAAATCCTCTTGTCTTTTATTGGCATTGCTTTCCATTGCTTCTTTTAGCTCCCTAGGCATCCTCAGTCGCTCCCTTTTAAATTCGTTGTCAGAGAGGTTGTCTAGCACTTCATTACTGTTGGCGTCTTCTGGGCTAGGCTGTTCAATAAGAAAGCTTGGTGGGATTTTTCGTTGCTTTACCATTGTGATCAGTTTGGTTTAGTCCTTCACACTCACTATTCTGCTTGAGTTGCAGAATGAATTGAGATGGGCTTAATCAATTATTGGCTAATGTGTGTCTGGTGGTTAAACTAACTTAGTGAAAGTTCCATGTAAGAGGGTAACTTATGGTTTCTATGGGATATGTAGTGGGAGAATAACTCTGGCCACATTAATGGCTGCGGCTCCGGGAAGGGGCCCTTTCGCTGAGTGGGTTCCTGGGTGAATAAGGAGAGAGTGCCCAGAATGGTTCAGCTTTGTTTTTGTGCAGTGTGCCTCAATTCCCGTCCCCCGCAGACCAAGGGTGAAAACCGGCCATTCTCAGGGGATCTAGTTAGCCGTGCAGACCCGGGAAGGGGCCCTACTGCCGGGCAGGTTCCTGTTTGAATCAGGCTCTACTGTACTTTTTTGCCTCTCTGGGATATATTCCCAGGAGTGGTATTGCTAGGTCAAATGGGAGCTCAATTTCTAATTTTTTGAGAATCGTTCATACTGTTTTCCAAAATGGCTGAACCAATTGACATTCCCACCAGCAATGAAGGAGAGTCCCTTTCTCCCCAGGTTCGTGCCCCAACACTGGTTCCTTTTACTCTTCTGGATGTGGATCAGTCTCTTTTGTGTGAGATGATATCTCATTGTTGTTTTAATATGCATCTCCCTGATGATTAGTGATGTTCAGCATTTTCTCATGTGCCTTTTTACTATTCGGATTTCTTTTTTGAGTAAGTTTCTGTTCATTTCATCACCCCATTTTTTGATGCGGTTGGATATTTTTCTTCTTGTGGAGTTCAACCAGTGCTTTGTTTATCCTTGATATCAAACCCTTGTCAGATGTGTATTGGGTGTATATCCTTTCCCATTCTGTAGATTGTCTTTGTATTCTGGTCACTGTATTTTTTGAGGTACAGAAGCTTCTTAATTTCAGATAGTCCCATTTATTTATTTCTGTTTTCACTTGGTTGGTCAGTGGAACATCATCTTTGAAGATACTGTTTGCCTCAATATCATAGAGGGTTTTGTCGACCTTGTCTTCAATGTACCGTATGGATTTTGGCCTGATTTTGAGATCTTTAATCCACTTTGATCTGACTTTGTGCATGGTGTTAGGTCAAGGTCAAAGCCTTTTTTTTTTTGCATGTGGTTGTCCAGTTATGCCAGCATCATTTGTTGAAGAGGCTTTCCTTGTTCCACTTCACATTTCTTGCTCCCTTATCAAAGATTAGATGTTGTGTGTGTTTTGGGTTGTGTGTACAGATATTTCACCCTGTTCCATTAGTCTGCAGTCCTGGCTTTGTTCCAGTACCATGCTGTTTTAATTATTACTGCTTTGTAGTAGATTTTGAGGTTGGGGAGGGTGATGCCTCCCCACGTCTTTTTCCCAAGGATTGTTTTAGGTATTCGTGGGGGTTGTGTTCTATATGAATTTCAGGAGGATTTAATCTATTTTTTTTGAAGAATTTCTTGGGTATCCTTATAGGGGTCACACTGAATCTGTATATTGCTTTGGGGTGTGCCCCGACCCGCTGGACTAGTCAACATGGATAACTGGGAGAGGGTGCATGAATGATAAAAAAAAAGAGAGAGACAGAAGAATGGGAGCAAGACAAGACTCTGATCAAGCTCCAAATTTATTTCTCCCAAGGTAGTTTTTTTATAATTGATTACATGAGGAAGTAGGGAAAATGGGGAATTAACAAAACATGCAGATTTTCAGTGAATCAAGGTGTGATCCCTAATGGCGGGCTCATGGCAGTTATCTCTTTGGCATATCTCAGAAGCTTACACAATGTATTTTAACATTTTTACAAGTAGAGATTAATTCCTAAATTTCAGGTCAGGGTGTACTGACCTTTTGGCTCCCGGTAGGAGAGTATTGCCATTTTGACAATGTTAATTTTTCCTATCCATGAGCAGGGGGTATGTTTCCATTTCCTCATGTCCTCTTTTGTTTCATGGAGTAGCGTTTTGTAGTTTTCATTGTGCCTTTACCTCTTCAGTTAGACTGATTCCGAGGTATTTGATTTTCTGGAGCACAATTGTGAACGGGATTTTTTTTTCATGTACTTTCCTTTCTCTCATTATTTGCGTTTAGGAAGGCCATGGATTTTGGGGCATTAATTTTATAGTCTGCAGTTGCATTAATTTTTATCTTTAATTGCATTAACTAATCTAGAGAGAATAAATATTTATAAGGCACATGTATATGTTTAATAGAATAAAGTGTCAATATTCAACTATAAATAAAATTTCATTTCTCCTAGGGCTAATATATGTAGTCAAGAAGTAAATATAAACATAAGTTCTTTGAATGTTTTTGCTGTATATTTAGTGTAGTCAATAAGTAAATATAAACGTTAGTTCTTTGAACATTTTTACTGTATATTTAGTGTAACAAATGACTAACACATTTCCTGATGTAAGCGCCAACAGTTCTGATAGACTTGATGCAATTTCTGTCCATCTCATCTATGACTGTGCCTGTTGGTGTCAGTACCCACAACGTCCCCTTCTTATCTCATTTTACCAAATGAAAGGGGGAATTGTCCTAATGAAAATTCTGTGCACTCGCAACAAAATAGATATACTCAAGCAACCACAGATTTTTATAATCTATGAATTCTCAAAATTCCCCAAATCAATTGTAGATGGTTCTAAAGTTATGTAAACCCCATTTTAATTTGGCTTCTCTTCAGATTTGTCTATGTGCACTCAACATTGTAGGATAATAATATTTACAAGGCAATATTTATGAATACATTTTTTTGTTTTTTTGTTTTATTTTGTTTTTTATTTGGGGCCATTGAGGCTTTCTTTACTCAGCACTAACTCACAGCTCTGTGCTTGGGGACCATTCTTGTTGAAGCTCAGGGATAATATGTGGTGGTAGGATTGAACATGCATGAGTCACATGCATACCCTCCGTGTGTTTTTTACCCTCCGTGTTACCTCACTTTTACTTTGATATACCTTATGCTTGATCTGTAAAGTAAAATCTAAGCAACTTTCAGTATATAGTTATTTATCTGGCTGGAGCGATAGCACAGCGGGTAGGGCGTTCGCCTTACAAGCGGCCAACATGGCCGACCCGAGTTCGATTCCTCTGCCCCTCTCGGAGAGCCTGGCAAGCTACCGAGAGTGTTTGATATGCCAGACACAGTAACAACAAAGTCTCCAATGGAGACGTTACTGGGCCCGCTCGAGCAAATCGACGATCAACGGGAGGGCCTTTACCTTTACCTTTACCTATCTGTTCTTAATTTGATCACCTAAATATTCCAGAACTACAAGAAATATAGTAGCCTCTGAATTTTGTACATAAAACAAGAAACTTCTCCAGGTCTTAAGCTTTCATATTGGCATTTTTCAAGCAATTTATCTTTATACTGAGCAAAATTTTGTGATGTGATGATAAAGATATATGAGTTACCTTTGTGTGAAGATGTATGATCAGAAAAAATGTGAGAAAATCACCAAAGGATATTTCTAGATTTTCTGCTCTTAGAGGTAATAATTGAATATTGAAATTTCTGCGGTTTTTAAAATTAATTACTACAACTCAATAAAGGCAAAAAAGGAGCTAAATATAGATCTATTCCAGTGATATAGTTACCTTTAATAAGTGGTCGCATAATTATCACAAATCACAAGGTATATTAAAATTTTTCATAATTTTGTCTTGGCTTAATGCTAACAGTAGACGCTTTATAATTCTTTTTAAGTGCAGGGGTATTGCTATTTATTCAGCCATTGATTAAACTGATTGAGCTTAACTCATTCACGGTCAGGATCCTCCCGTTGTTCATTGATTTTCTCGAGCAGGCCCAGTAACGTCTCCATCGTGAGACTTGTTACTGTGTTTGGCATATCGAATACATCACGGGGAGCTTGCCAGGCTCTACCATGTGGGCGAGATACTCTCGGTAGCTTGCTGGGGTCTCTGAGAGCGGTGGAGGAATCGAACTCGGGTCGGCCATGTTGGCTGCGTGCAAGGCAAACGCCCTACCCGCTGTGCTATCGCTCCAGCCCTTGAACTCAGTACTTTAAAAATTTTTTTTAATTGGACACCCGTGAGATAGACCATTACAAAGCTGTTCATAATTGAGTTTTAGTCATACAATGATCCAGCATCCATTGTTCCACCAGTGCACATTTCCCACCACCAATGTCCCCAGTTTCCCGACCACTATCCCCCCCACACACACATTCCCCCACACTATTCAACAAGAAGGGGAAAATCAAGAGTAAAATCATGATGAGTAAGTGGCATGCTGTGCAAAACAATAGAAGTCTGTGCTCAGATGAGTGACACAAAACTGTATTCCCATGAAATGGCCATCCTCTGGGTTCCAAGGGAAGGATGTGCAGGACAGAGAGCTTGGAAGAGCTCTTAGGGATGTTTCCCCTCTATCTTATAGTATTTTGATGTAGGTGTAAAGACTGAAGAAATCATGAAAGCCCCTAGGTCCCAAATTTGTGGCAAGAAGTTTAGCCCCATGAGAAGACAAACACCTGGAGGTCTGAGGGAGTGGCCTTTCTCAGAGCTGAGAGACCATGTACTCACAGCTCTGGCCTCTACCACTCAGGAAAGGGCACATATGAGTCACCTTCGCCCTGAGGAGCCTTCAGTACAAAGCCCCTGAGCTTGGATGAAAGTGGTCCCAACTGACCATGCTCCTCAGGGCTCCTATTGGACACCATGCTTTCCCACTTGCAGTCACTAGCACATTTGCTCATTAATGCCCGTGAACAAACATCTTATCTCCCAGTAACTGTTCTTTTACAGGCATAAAATTCACCCCCAAAATTGTGGTAAAATGATGCAGTTTTGTGAAGTTGAGCAACTGAACTTTGTATAGTCCTCATCTGTGTGACACCAGGGCTGTGTCACAGAGACACAGATGTGTCATAGATGACAGCGGCTCTCACCCGTATTTCTCTGTACAGGAATTCAGTCAGCAAATTTCCAGCAGACTGTTTCAGAGGCCTGTGGTCATCCTTCTTACAGACAAAGTGTTTATTTACATTTTCTTTGTGAATCCTAAAATAACCACTTGAATTTTAGTCCATCTACTTAATTTATTGTCCTGCACTTGTATGTTCATTGCTGCACTGTTCACAATAGCCAAAATCTGGAAAAAAAAACCAAGTGCCCCAGAACAGATGATTGGCTAAAGAAACTTTGGTACATCTATACAGTGGAATACTATGCAGTTGTTAGAAGCCATAAAATTTGCATCCAAGTGGTTATACGTGGAAAGTATCATGTTAAGTGAAATGAGTCAGAAAGAGAGGGACAGACATAGAAAGACTAAACTAATTAATATGTGGAATATAAAGTAACAGAACGGAAGATGAACACCCAAGAATAGTTGAGATAAGTAAAAGGAGGTCTGCTCCACAGCTTGGAAGCCATCAGCACATGCTGGATAAAAGGAAGCCCAGATAGAGAAGGGAACACCAAGTAAAGGGTGTTTGGAGGATTTGCTTGGGATGCAAGATGTGTGCTGAAAGTAAGCTATAGACTGAACACGATGGCCACTCAATACCTCTATTGCAAACCACATCACCCTTAAAGGAAAGAGGCAGCAAAAGGGAATGCCCTGTCACAGAGGCGAGGTGGGATGTGGGGGTGGGGTAGGAGGGCTACTGGGATCATTGGTGGTAGAGAATGGGTACTGATGGAGGGATGGGTACTCGATCATTGTATAACTGAAACCCAAGAATGAAAGTTTGTAAGTATAAAACTGTACCTCATGGTGTTTCACACACACACACACACACACACACACACACACACACACACACATAAAACAAAATTATTGTTCTAAAGTGCAACTTCTTGAGCAGTTCTGGATTTTGGATATAGAAGGTAACATGTTCACACATAGAAATTTACTGTCTCCAATTTTCTCAGAATTTTATTTTCCTTTCTATCAGATACAAAGCAGCAGCAGGTTCTGCTCATAAAGAAGTGGGTCTGAGATTCAAATTGAATTTCATTCTCACCATTTGTGAGAAGGGCTTTGACTTTCTCTTCCCTTGAAATAAAGTTCCAAATCTTGAGTGAGGGACTCACCAACTAGAAAGGCATCAGATTTTTCTTGTCAAGTTTTTACTTCCATTTTTTGGTCACGGAGACGGAAATGTTCAGAACAGATGTGCTTTGAACTTGTGTTTTTTCATGTAAACTAAAAATGTTTTTTAGTTTCCCCATCTGACCACCTGGTTTCCTGTGAAAGGCTACTTGGATAGTTTAGGGGGAGATTGTAAAGCATAGGCAAATTTGCAACTGGAAAGCGCATATCATTTGACAAAATCAAAAGCAATTAGAAGATGTTGTTTGGTATGGTGAGTCTGTGTTATTTTCTCCTGTTTATTCAAATTAAAGTATTACATTAAATGAGCTTCAGGGCTAGTTGCCTTAGCACATGGTAAACAGTTAAATTTGCATCTATTGGGGGCCAGAGCAGTAGTACAGAGGGTAGGATGCTTGCTCTGTTCCTGTGGAGCTCAGGTCTAATTCCCCAGCATCATAAATAATCCCCCAAGCCCCATCAGGAGTGATCCCTGAGTGCCAGCCAGGAATAAACTTTGAGAACCACTGGGTATGGTCAAAAAGCCAAAGAAAATTTGTATCTTTTATACCTTTAATAATTCTCAGTTCAATCCAGTTCATCTGCTTATGCATTGATAAAAAGACTCCAGTAAGACAAACAAGCACATTTGCATGTGGTATAACTCAGGATAGTTAAAACATCTTGCTTGAACTCAAGGTCTTACTAATATTTTTGAAGTCCATACAAATAACACATTGTGGAATATGAGAAAAATAATTATGTCTTTCTGGGGTATTTAAAGTTATTTTAGAAAAAGCAGTGATTTAAATTAGTATTATTTTTTTCTAGAGTAGTTTCAGAGACTTTTTTCCCAACAGTTTTCTTTCTCCTCACTTGAAAAATATTTCTATTACATTTTAACCATATGAGACCATCAATCTATCATGCTGACCAATGGCCTATATGAACCACTCAGGCACATCATATTTCTTTGTGCCATAAACCATGAAAATAAATGACAAACTGGCATTATAATTGATGAGTTCCCAAGCCTCCCCCATCTTTTATGTGATTTCTTTTACCCTTGTTTCCTATGAAGGAATAAACTCAGAGGACAAATGGAAGTAGGTCTCGGTCACGGTCCTCCCGTTTTCATCGTTCTGCTTGAGCGGGCCCAGTAACGTCTCCATTGGAGACTTTGTTGTTACTGTGTTTGGCATATTGAATACATCACGGGTAGCTTGCCAGGCTCTGCCGGGCAGGCGAGATACTCTCAGTAGCTTGCCGGGCTCTCCGAGAGGGGCGGAGGAATCGAGCTTGGGTCGGCTATGTTGGCCGCTTGTAAGGCAAATGCCCTACCGCTGTGCTATCGCTCCAAGAAGTAGGTAATTACCAAAAAATAATCCTGGGTCACTAAAGGAATTTTCCATGGAAGTGTTGAAATATGGACTGTCTGGTGAGGACAAGATTAAAGGGGAACGATATATAGTATTCAAGTAGCACAAGTGGCTTCATAAGCAAAAAGAATGAAATGCTCTATTAAGCCCTTTTTCATTATTGAACATAAAATAGATCTCATACTGATTTAGTGTATTTCTGTTCTTCCTGGGTTTTTTCATGATCTGTGATATTATTTTCAATAGGTTTTGAGACAGGATTCCTTTTGCTCCTTGGATTCACCTCTGTGGATCTCTGCTGTACTTGATGGTTTAAAGATTTGTGACAACTAAAGGCTCGCTAAGTTTTTCCCAGGCTCAAACTCCCATGACAGAGGCTAGAGGGAACTCCTCATTGTCTTCCAGAGAATGTTTTTATTTTTAAATGTGTTCATATATATATATTATATATGATATATACATTTAAAAATAAAAATACAATTCATGACTATTTTTTGCCTCTATAGTTTGGAAATGGCTCTTCATGTCACCAAATTCACATTACAGGTCCATTTATATGATTTTCTATTAGAGTTGAGTTGTATAGGGAAACTTCTGGTCTGCATCTGAGCCACTTAGACTATGGGTTCACAAACTTTCATATCTTTATGGTATGATCTGTATATTGTAGAAAGCGTATAATAGTGAAGATGTTTTCTTTATGGATGGTCGAGTGTATAGAAGACGGCAGGCTCATGTCCTCAGGGTAGCCATCCTGTCTGCAAGGCCACAAGAAGTACTTTCTGTAGGGAAGAACAGGGAAGCATATTTCTAGAAAAGATAGATTGTGAGCTGGTGGGCCTAGGGTGGTCAATCGATTATCCTGTGGAATGGTCCTTTGAGGTAAAGCCAATTGTACCTGCAAATATACACAAAGATTTCAGACTTAAACTTGTTTATTTTAGGATTTTTTGTGAAGGACAAGACTTGGACAATTATTGCTGCCTAGAAGAAGTTTGTGTTGGTAATTTCCGCCACTTCAGGGCACAATGAGAGCCTCATTCTCAGGCCCTTGAATTGAGTTATCTATTGGAATGGCCAGAAATTGCTAGGAGAGTGTCGTGGTAGGAGTGTGTGTGTGGGGGGGGGGGGGATGGGCCTCAAAAATAAAACATTGCCAAGGTAGGATCAAAGAGATAGTATAACAGATATGGTGGTTGCCTTCCATGTCCAATCCCTGGCACCTCTATGGTCCCCCATACCCTGCTGGGAATGATCACTGAGCATAGAATCAGAAGTAAGACTTGAGCACAACCAGGTGTATCCCCCCTAAACCCCAAAAATTATTTATGGGGGAGTTGTTTTTCCTGAGCACTGTTTGTGAGACTCATTCCTACCTCATTGAAACAAAACCTAGTTATTTCCAAATTGTTGTGATTTTGGCCACTGTGGTGGGTGAGTTACTGAAATCAAGTTTAGCCAAAAATATTTACTTCCTGTTATTTTTATCTTAATGTGACCTGTTTGGTCATCAAGTAGGTAGAACAAGATTCTCAGTCCAACATGGAATATACTTATTTAAAAGGAAAAAAAAAACTAGAGTTATAGTACAAAGCTTTGGCACTTGCCTTGTATGAGACTGTGGCTCAAATGAAAATGGTTCAAATTGTGGTTTTTCATGTAGTCCCCACAGTTCTACAGGGTGTGACTCTAGCCATAGATCCAAGAATAATCAGGAGCACAGAGCCACGTGTGACCACTGAGTGTGGCACAACAAAAACAACCAAACAACAACAAAAATAACATTTAAAAGGAAAAGGATATACATATTAAATACTTGTCTTTTGATAGTAATAAAATAAAAAGATTATGAGAAAATTTTATGTCTAAAATTTGTAGTTATTTCTTTGAATATGATAAACTCAGAACTTAAGAATTGGCTCATAGATCAAATAAAGGGTGTTGGGAGGATCCTCCCAGGATGGGAGATGCATGCTGAAAGTAGACTATAGACCGAACATGATTTCCACTCAATATCTCTTTTGCAAACCACAGCACCCAAAAGGAGAGAGAGCACAAAAGGGAATACCCTGCCACAAAAGCTGGGTGGGATGTGGGGATGGGGGTGGGAGGGATACTGGGATCAGTGGTGATAGAAAATGGGCACTGGTGGAGGGATGGGTACTCGATAATTGTATAATTGAAACCCAAGCACAAACATTTGTGAGTCTACAACTTTACCTCATGGTGTTTAACTAATAAAAATTTAAAAAAAAAGAATTGGCTCATCGATGGTATTGATGGTATTGTTGCAACAAAGTTCATCAAAACTAATGACCACCAATTCATAGTAATGCAAATTATAATAGATAATACCTATCTGAATATTATAGGATCCTGGTTTTTTATTCTAATCTCAGAGATATTTGATAAATATACAAAAAACCCTCAATTCAGATAAAATTGATTCCAATGTTTATTTTAACAATTTCCATCCATTATCTTCTCCTTTCTCCCTCTCATACCATATCTGTTCTCAAGATTCCACGTGGACCTCCGTTTGGCACACTGGGTCCCCTATTGCTAGGGCTGGGAGCTCAAATGGAGGAAGCCCCCAACCAGTATTCTTCAAGTACTCAGTCAACATGGACCAGCTCCGAGTAATGATTGAGCATGCAGATCACTGTCAGCAGGAGCTGGCTTTCCACTGCAAGAAGTCAAGGCTTCCAGCTCACCAAGGTAAGTGATCAGTCATTAGGGCTAGAGGCCAACTGGGTCACGGGGGCAGTCACTGATCTATTAAAGGTCTTTGAACACACTGCCCAGTTCATTGTCTGAGAATTACACGTTTTTCTTGAAGCAGTACTTAATGTCAATCTGTTGCTCTTTGTTCAATGTGGGTCTTTTGTTCAATATGAAGTCTTTTTCTAGACTCACCTGGGCAGCTGAGCCTCAGTGGTCCTTGGAAAGCTCAGGATTCATCCACCAAGAAGGGTGATAGCATTTCACTTTATTTTTTGGTTATAAAAAAGTGTAAATTAGAACAGGGCTTGGATGTCATTATACCGTGACTATTTTTTTTCACAGACCAAATTTATTCTATGTCTTAGGAAATTACAAATTAGAAAACAATGTTAACTCTAGACATCTCTTTTAGGATATAGAAGATTGTGGTAGATTGTTAATTTTGTATCTATTGATGCCAGAATAATAGGATAGAGGGTAGGGTGTTTGCCTTGTAGTGTGGAGCTAAGGATTGACACATATGGTCCTTCCAGCCCCATCAGGAGTGACCCTGAGTATATAGCCAGGAGTAAGCTCTGAGCACTGTGAGGTTGAGATTTCAGCTTTTCAAGCCAAAGAAAAAAGTATCTATTATACTTTTAATAATTATCAGGTTTTTTTATTTTTTCCTTTGCAATATCTCATTTTGTCAAAATATGCAGCCCCATGGCTTCCTTGAAACATGTGGATTTCTACTTTATTCTTTCTCTGATCGACATAGTTAGTTGGGGGACAGAAGAAGGGAGACAAGGCTCTTGTGCTTCCATGCCCAGCAAATCACCCCGCAGCTGGGAAATAATCTCAGTACTCTGTCTTCAAACAGTAATCTCAGCAGGATTTAATTGCACACAGACAAAGTGTATCAAGTAAGTGCTACTTATTTTCAGTTTACTGAATGTACAGTTAGTACTAGAGGGTTTAGTACTTACTTACTTTAGTTTGGCAGTTGGTTACTGTAAAATGGAACACCAAACTGAAATTGTAGAAGAACGTACAAGCACCCTCTAGAAGAGCAAATTAGTGCTAACCAGGTGATTAACCACTGCCAGAGTTAAAAACAAACCCACCCAGAGTATCCGGAAAAACATATCCCAGAATATAATCTATACCAGAAATTGAACCCCACAAAGATAAGTAAAAATTGTGCACAGAGAGTGAATGAATATCTACCTGTTGATTTGCAAGTGATTACTTAAAGTTGTCAACCCTTTAATATAGATATATGGCAGCCATATCACCAAATGAAAACAAACATTTAATTGGAGTGGGGAGATGGAAGGAGAAAATACTTTGAAGCCTGTCAAATTCTTGCAAGGAAATGAAATAAGAAATTTCATTTTCTTTCTATGCTCAACTTATATACATTACTTATATGCTGCTACTAACTTTTAGCACAAACTTAATTTAGATATATTCAGTACAGTTCTATGTATTTTTAGAAGTTCTTAAGTAAGGTAAAGATGCGGTAGACAAATAGTGTAGCCTACTAGGCCTTGAAATTGTTGCATTGATTTTCTCTGAATAATCAATATACACAAATGAATATGCAGGAAATCAATACCATCCTTATGAAGTAAAAATAACTAAGCCTTCACAAGGATTTTATTTATTGTAATGTTTTATGGAATGCTGCACTGAGGCAGGGGTAGGGGGAGAGGAGAAGTCTTCTGAGTTGGTATTAAGGCACTTGCCTATGGCTGATCCTGATTTGATCCCTGGTACCACTAGGAGTGATCCCCAAGCACAGTCAGGAGTAAAACCTGAGCACACGTGGGTGTTGCCTAAACTTCTCCTCTTCTACCCCCTCTTCCCACGCCGTCAAGAAAAGATGCATTTTGAAAGCAGTAAAGAATGCTACAGTGTGAGGGAGAACATTCTTCACAATTATATGGGTCCACTGGAGAATGGTAGTCAATATTCAGTTGCTGCTTGGACATTTATTTGTGTTGATCACAAGAGGGGATACCACTGATCTGGGATGTCATTGCAACGTCCATGGAGTAGGGTGGATTTGCAAAGGGCTGGGGAGGGTGAGGAAGGAATGCTGTCAAGGGAGGATATGAACGCGTTTCTTTAACATCTTCAGGGCCTTTATGTTGGCGCTAGTTTAAGGAGACTTGATTATGGATGGTAAAAGAAGTTACAAGATGACGTTGACATTCTTGGAAACTTTGATCACGGTACTGAGAACTCTGTGACCATCAAAGATGCTGCAATAGCAACCTTTAGTATTTTGGTTCGCAAAGAGGGTCAAGCAGGGCGCTAAAGATAATTAAGAGGAGTCGTGCTCTCTGTACATTGATATCTTTTCTGCTGCTTTTCAAGAAGAATTAGACTCTAACTTTTCTTTGGGGTATTCTGAATGATTGCTTGTTTTATAGAGAAATGAATAATTCTGATGTAAACATACAGAAGTGAAGTTATGTATAATAATTTGCTAGTCAGTCTCTGGAAGAATAATTATTGGACTTTGACTTTTCAAAATATTTGGGAAAGTATCATTTAAATATTTCTTAAGCTAAAGGAAATTTTCCACTCCCTAGAGATAAGTTTTCAACATAGTAAGAAATAAATCATTGATGTTGAATTCCTGGCACGTATCTCATGGACGGGGCCTGAGGTGGGTGGCAGTGAATGCAGTTAATGTGCTTATAAGCTCAGAGGCTCTGAGCAGAAGCAGAAGTTTCTTCCAACAGGGAGCAATAATGGACAGTGGCGGCTGTGCATATTTGGGAAAAGCGGGGTGATGGTCCAGTTCGGGGGAAGAGGGGGCGTCTGTTGGGAATGACCTAGCGGTCTGAAAGAGCACACTGAAACAGACAGAGCCAGTGTATCTTATGGTATTCCTGTTCCCTCCTGGCTATTTTCTGCTGAGTGTTTCTCTAATGCCTGCTTTAATGTTCCCTCTCTTGTAATCTTCCTTCCCAGGTAAACTGCCATTGCCCACGGGGTCCCTGTTAATGTGAATGTGTAGTAATATGGGGTCGAGGCTGGTTTTGACCTGGTCACTTAATTTTCGTTTGCACTGAGGTTGGGGTTGTGTTGAAGAACTAGGTTTGCTCCAGGGCTCACCTGAGACTTAAAGATCCAAGAACAGCATCATTACAAATATAGTGCTAACCTAGTCAAAGTGAGCAAGAACACACGTTTTTCCTCCAAGCAACTTTTAAGACATAACAGAAAATATCCATATTTTAGCTAGCAAGTCAAGCGAAATAAGCCCATTTTTCACATAATCATAAATTCTTCCAGTAGCTTTTAAGGATATCAAACAGATTTTTATATTCAGAGTCTAAATTATTCTGGTTTTCTAGTGCCAATTATTTTTAGCTATTGTATCCAAGTATTATAATCCTCAAGATAAACATGGAAATGCCAGGCCAGAATGAGCTAGGACATCCTTGATCGTTTTCTAATAAAACATAAATCATGCTATTATAGTTTTGAAACAAAAATTTTCAATCTCACTTTTTAAATAGAAGGAGAAAACAGGAATGGTACTGGGGCCACAGGTAGTGGGGGACAATGTAAGTGTCATCTTTCTCATTCTTGTCTTGCAGATGGAACCCCAGTGAGCTGGTGGGTTGGAAGAACCAATGAAACACACACTTACTGGGGAGGCTCTCTGCCTGATGCCCAAAAATGTACCTGTGAATTAGAGGGGAATTGCATTGATTCTCAATATTACTGCAACTGTGATGCTGGCTGGAATAAATGGTGAATATCATTTTTCTGTGCAAACTGTAATTTTTTTCGTTGCTTAAACCATGTATCTTAGCAGACATCAGACATGACTAAAGTGAGAATAGATTAAAGGATTTCCAAGCAAATTAAAAATAAGCTCTTTTATGTGTATGGTGTATTTAATCTGAAGCCTAAAATATCAAGTTTAACTTTTCTGCTCACCAGTGCATAGTAATCATTGTCTGTTTAATTTTTCTGATAAGAAAATATTGGAATACCAAGTTAATACTACCCATTCAAAAGCATTATAGTATTAAATTTCTTTTTTAAAAAAATTTTTATTAGTGAAACACCATGAGGTACAGTTGTAGACTTACAAATTTTTGTGATTGGGTTTCAATTATACAATGATCAAGTACCCATCCCTCCACCAGTGCCCATTTTCCACCACCACAGATCTCAGTATCCCTCCCCACTCCCCATCCCCCTTCCTTCCCCCGTCCCACCCTGCCACTGTGGCAGGGCATTCCCTTTTCTTGTCTCTCTCCTTTTGGGTGCCATGGTTTTCAAAAGAGGCATTGAGTGACAATCATTTTCGGTCTATAGGCTGGAGCGATAGCACAGCGGTAAGGCGTTTGCCTTGCACGCAGCCAACATGGCCGACCCGAGTTCGATTCCTCCACCCCTCTCAGAGAGCCCGGCAAGCTACCGAGAGTATCTCGCCCGCTCGGCAGAGCCTGGCAAGCTCCCCGTGACGTATTCGATATGCCAGACACAGTAACAACAAATTCTCCAATGGAGACGTTACTGGGCCCGCTCGAGCAAATCGATGATCAACGGGAGGGCCTTTACTTACTTTACTAGTCTACTTTCAGCGTGCTTCTCCCATCCTGGGAGGATCCTCCCAACACCCTTTGTTTCGTGCTTCCTTCTCTATCTGAGCTGCCTTTTCCCCTAGAATGTGTGGCTGGCCTCCAAGCCATGGAGCAAACCTCCTGGTACTTATCTTGGCTATTCTTGAGTGTTAGTCCCCTATTTTGTTTCTTTATGTTCCCCAGATGAATGCAATCTTTTTATGTCTGTCTCTCTCTTTCTGACTCATTTTGCCTAGCATGATACTTTCTATGTGGTACCACTTGTATGTAAATTTCATGACTTCATCTTTTCTCACAGCTACATAGTACTACATTGTGTAGATGTACCAAAATTTCTTGCAGTAAATTTTATTTTATTTTATTTTTTATTTTTTTATGTAGCTTGCAGTAAACTTTAGCCCAATTAATAAAATTGCTGCATGCTGACCTTTCTAGCTTAAAGATATGTTTTCAATAGCCACATAGCTAATCTTCCCTTGGCATGTGGATTAGTTTGATCATAGGATGAGAGGATGATAGAGGTCCTCTAGACTCAAGTCCAATTTTACTTATACCATCAAATACCTAGAACAGTGTCCCCCACAGTAGGGGATACTTCACCATGGGACTTACTGAAATCATTCTGTGAATCATATTAGCTTCCCAGATAAGTTGGAGAAAGAGGTAGTTGTTTTGTTTGCTTATAAGATAGATTTTCAATGGGATACTAAGTAATATTTTTTTGAAAAGGCTCAAAAGGTATGGAAAATCTGATCTGGACATAACATGGTAAAATCAAAGAACGTGAACATCAAAGTTAATGGAAAAGAAATGCAAGAAATTGACTACAGAGTAACAGAGATGCACTTAGAAGTCAAGACAATTATAAACAATTGCATTCCAACAGCATAGAGAATAAACTAAGGACAGAAGAACTCTGAAATAGAGAGTTTTTTTAAATTTTAAAATACTAAGCTATTAGTTTCAAAAGTAAAATAAAATGAAGCAGCAAACACAGAAGAAATTTTCTGCCATCAGACTCCACAAAATAAGTTATTTATTTGTTTTTTGTTTTTGTCTTTGGGCTCCATCTAGAAATTCTGAGTTTACTCCAGTTTCTGTACTTAGTGATCACTCCTGTCTGGGATCAGAGGAGAACTCTTTGGGATCCCTAGAGGGAACCAGATCATCAGTTTGCAAGGCAAATAACCCTCCTCCTGTCCTAACTCTCCACCTCTGCCACAGAATAGTTTTCAGAATGATAGAGTAGTCTTATGGGAAGGTTTCAGATACATTTAAACTTTAAAACTATTATAACAATATGAAATATTTCAGTTTAAATTAAACTGTTTAACTTAAATTGTTTAAAAATTATTTTTAACATTTAAAACATTTTATCTATGTATACTAAGAAATTACTCACATGTCCCTGGATATCTCTTTTTTAAGCAAACAAAGATGCATCTGAGATGAACACCAGCCCTTCACCATCACCTACTTTGAGAAATATTGGTTTCTAGTTACATCAAAGAAAGAAGTTTACAAGATTTGAGGGTGCAATATAAGAGATAAATGTCAGACATGTTGCATAAGATAGAAAGAACATATAACTACATAAGAGAAATTGAAACGCAAGAAGCAAAGAAATCCAATTATTAATGATAATAACTTACAAAAACAAAGTAATGCTTACAGTGAAAATAGTGGTTGTATTTTTTTTTTTTTGCTTTTTTGGGTAACACCAGCAATACTCAGGGGTTACTCCTGGATTTGCACTCAGGAATTACTCCTGGCAGTGCTTGGAGGACTACATGTGATGCTGTGGATTGAATGTGCAAGGAGAATGCCCAAAGTGCTCTGGCCCTGAAAATACTGAAATTTAGAATTAATATTTTAGTATATATTATCCCCGGCGAGGACAGCCAGGCTGAAAGAGCCTGGAATGTGGCGCTTTTTAGAATCTCAGGGCTAGGAAGAAGGAAATGTTACTGGTGCCTGCTCGGGGCAATCGACAAACAACAGGATGATCGTGATCGTATATATTATCAAGAATTTCTTCAGGTACATACATCAAAATTTTAAAGGAAATATCTGACAATAGAAATAAAGCATGTGCTCTTCAAATCTATGTAGGAAGAAAGAATTAATGAATTATTGAAATTTTTGTTAATTCAAAAGAATATAGAGTACAACTATATCTTCTTTGTTCATGCAGAAATATTAAAAGTACAAAAATCCATTTGATAAGCAAATACAAAATCAAGATAGTAAAGTTTGAAAAGTTTAATGTGGGAAAACTTATTGTCACTATAATATGAAACTTTAAAATTTTACCATAAAGAACTAATGATCCTAACTTTATAATAAAAATGCTTTTAATATAAATGATTCACAATATATATGGAAAATAATAAAACCGCAAAACAAATTTATAACCAACCATGATATAAACAATTCAGTTAGTAATTAAAAAGCCAGACACTAATTACTAAAGATGTAAAATATTTTGAAGAAAGGGACCCAGAGGGATAGATCAGAGACTAAGGTTTTTATGTTTTTAACATTCATTTCTAGCACCATTGCATTATAATTAGAGAAACTTATCATATTACAAAAACTATCATAATTAAAAAATTTACTTAATACATGAAGCCAGTTTTGGTTTGATCTCTGGCACTGCATTTGATCCCCCAAGCATATCTAAGAGTGATTCCTGAGCACAGAACTGGAAGTTAGTCCTGATCACTGTCAGGTGTGGCCGGAAACACACACACACACACACACACACACACACACACGCACACACACACACACAAACTATCAAGATGAATGAGCCAGAGAGATAATAGGGGGTTAAGAATTTTCTTTTGTATATCATGACCAAACCTGATTTGAAACTAAACCAGAACAGCATATTGTTTCCGGAGTTCCAAGGTTCACTTCTGAGCACAGAATCAAGTTGGAATATCCCTGAGCCCTGAGGGTGTAGCCCACAACCACCACCCTAAATCTAAATAAATAAAGTTAAGATATCAACTGAGAGGGATAATACAGTGAGTAGGGAATTTGCTTTCACGAGGCCTACTGGATTTGATTCCACATACCACATACAGTCTTCTGAACTCCGCTAAGAATCAATCCTGAGTTCAGAGTCAGTAGTAAACCCTGAGTACCTTCAGATGTGTTCTCCAAAACAACTGAAATTAATAAACAAATTAAATTAAATTAGAAAGTTGACTTTTTCAGCCCATAAACTTAACAGAATACACGATTATCTTAGGCATGCATAGTGAATTTTCATAGTGACTTTCCACAGATTCCATTAAGTAAATTTTTTAATTATGATAATATGAGCAGTTTCTCTAATTATAATGTAATGGTGCTAGAAATGAATGTTAAAAACATCAAAATAAATGTGTCCATTCAAGCCACAGAACATTGGAAATGAATAAAAATTGCATTATGCATAGGCAATATGCTTGCTCACAAAAAAAGCAAGTTAATAACAGATCATGAATATTGAACTGTATTTCTATGAAGAAACATAAATAAATACTATGAAACTTCCTTCTAAATTAACTGAGAGGAATGAAAGCACCATAATATGCAAGATGTTGAAAAAAATTATAAAAGTTCTGAAAACTTATGTGAGCATCTACACCACATTTTTGCAATAATTCCCTTAAAGGAAAAGTTAATTTTTCATTAAATAATTAATTGATTTAATTTAGTTCCAAGTGAATGTCAAACATATTTTTGTTGTTGTTTAGAATGTTGACAAATTTTGTGGTTGTTTAGAATGTTGACAAATTGTTCCAAAATGTATATGGACAAGAAACGAAGAATGAATAGCTAAAATACATCCTATAATAGAAGCCAGGTGAGAGAAGAATCCCACCTAATAAATATGAGAATGTGTTACAATGCTGAGTAATGGTCTCTTTATTAGTGAGAAAACAGAACAAAACCCAATGGAGAGCCTATATTTGAGTTTCAAATTATGTACTTCTAGATGGTAATTATGATCTCACCAATTATTTTCTTCCAAGCACTGTGAAACTTGAAAGTTGACCCAATATTTCTCCCAGTAAATTTCCCAATGCAAGTAAGGAGTCAAAAGTTCTGCTATGCCTCAAAAAGCAGTCTACGAAATACAGCAAGCAGTAAGAATTATTCCTGGTGCATGAGGAAAGGAACCAAACACAAAATAGACGTAGGTTTAGAAGTTCTCTTACTGAATGTTTAAAATTATTGTGAGAAATTATCTGATATGTAACATTTACAAAATTGGGAGGAAATAGAGAGGTCCTTAAGGGGCCAGAGATTGTCCAGGGGTTAAGTCACTTGCCTTCCAAGTAGCCTGCCCAGGTTTAAGCCCTTGTACCATCTATAGTCCCTAAGAACCACCAGGCCTGATCTCTGATAGTCGAGTCAGAAGTAACCCCAAAGTAACACCAAGTATGACACAATCAGACAAAAAATAGAGGTAAGAGGAAAGCATTTAATTATAAGTTAGGCAAATTTTAATGGGTGTGGGAACTCTGGAAATTAATAAATCCTGCATAAAATGAATATAGTCAACAATGATGTGTGCCCATAAAGAACTGTTAAATTAGAATTTCTCAAAATTCCCTTAGATAAAGGGAATCTGCCTGATTCTTACAGTAAGCAACAACATGAAAAAGACTATTGTTATTGCCTAATAAACACTATCTGCATTACGATTTCTTAAGATTTTTCAGGGCTCTTTATGCATTGTCTATAAAATAGAATGAAAGTGTAGTTTTGTACTGCTTTGAGAAATAGAGCATTTAAAATGTTATTTAAAACCAAAAATACTCAACGAATAAGTTATGTAATGGGCTGGAGTGATAGCACAGTGGGTAGGGTGTTTGCCTTGCACGCAGCCAACATGGTCGACCCGAGTTCGATTCCTCTGCCCTTCTGGGAGAGCCTGGCAAACTACCAAGAGTATCTCGCCCTCACGGCAAAGCTTGACAAGCTACCAGTGACGTATTCGATATGCCAAACACAGTAACAAGAAGTCTCAAAATGGAGACGTTACTGGCCACGCTCGAGCAAATCGATGAACAACAGGAGGACAGTGACAGTGACAGAAGTTATAATATAATTATTTTTCTTCTAGTATACTTCAGTGTTTTTCAGTTCTTTGTGAACTTGGTTGCCTTCTGGCTGTATTCTTCTTCTATGATACTTTTTTTTTTCATTTTGGGTCAAACTCAGCAATGCACAGGGGTTACTCCTGGCTCTGCACTCAGGAATTACTCCTGGCTGTTCTCAGGGGACCATATGGGATTCTGGGGATTAAACCTGGGTCAGCCGCCTGTAAGGCAAAAGCCCTACCCATTGTGCTATCGCTCCAGCCCTCATTTGTAGCATTACTGATATCAAACACTAAAACTAGTTTCAGCTTATTTTAGCAAAGTTAATTTCCAGACAGATCTCCCCATAAACCAAGCTTGCACTCTAGATCGTTGACCACTCTTCCTGACCAAACCAGGTATTATATGCTTGGGATGATTTCTGCCAGTGTGCGGTAAATACAGGGATTAGGCAGATAAAACTGTTACTTCATTTTATCTGAGTTTTAAAAACAGCTAGAATCAAAGCATTTTTTTTAACATTCAAGATATTTCATTCACATATGTATGTGTATGTATTGTCTTACCATGAGCACTGATGGTCTCTTGGCTAAAACTCTAAAACAAATGTTTTAATTTTTTACTTCAAGGAAATATTTTGGAACCTAAGCAGAATTTGACTAAGTATTAGTCATGATTTTCTGCAAAGCTTATTAAGTTGAGCCATTCGAAGTAATTTTTTTTAACCTATGGAATTGCAGTTGAAAATGCTTCAGCTTGCCTAGCTAGGAGTGGTCATTTGGTAATTTTAAAAATCAAAACTTACTAGGTTTGTCACAAAGCATCATAAGGATAAGTGGGACAAGTTATTATTTATTAAAAAATCAGATACACATATGTAATTGAGGTACACAGTATAATAGTCAACAGTTTTGGGACCAAAGAAATAGCATAGTAGGTAAAATGCTCGCTGTGCAGTCAGTCTGGGTTTGATCTTTATTACCCCATATGGCCTCTTGAGTCCTGCCAGGAAAGATTTCTGTGCACAGAGTCAGGAGTAATCCCTGAACACAGCTAGGCATAACCTCCAACTAAAATGCAACAAATAAAAAATTTAGAGTTTATAAGTGTTCTTACTTTCTCTATAAAGGTGACAAAGCAAGCTTATCACCTACATTTTGTTTTCTTTGTTTGATGGAACCATAGAATTATGCTTCCTAAAACATTATTTTTGTACTGAAGCATCATTGTTGTTATAATATAAACTGTTTCCTGGGGCCACAAGTGATGATATCTATACATGTCCCATATACAGAAGATTCTTCATAATTGTCAAGAGAGCATATTGTGACAATAATTGACACGCCACTTTTGCACCCACCCACCCACACACACACACACACACACACACAGTGAGTCTCTTTAATCATTTTAAGAGTCCATCACATCACACCTTTTGCCTTGGTGTTGGACAGTAATTTGTTTTTTAAGTTCATTTCATTAACAAATAAGGAAATGCTGACAACTATAGTAGGAGTTTCTTAAATACCTTTGAAGTTTTGAGAATTCCAAACATAAAGCTTACCACCTGAATGTTATTGTTTATTTGCTTTTTTAATTTATGAAGACTGATTACTGTCACTCGCATAAAAATTCTACATATAACAATTTACACAGTGGCTAACCTAGAGCAGTGAGCTGCTTAGTGGCATTAAAAATGTTACCTCTAGTCTGTCCCTTTACTATAGTTGTGGACCTGTCTGCTTTCTTTACTGTTGTGTCGTCAATAAACATGATCTCTGATCTTCAGATGGCCCCAATAAATATTTTGCTATCTTTGTCAATGTTTAAATGAATCATTTTCTTTTCTCACTGCTGGGTAACGACAAATTTAGCTTGATAACTCTTGAACTGTGATGAAAGACTATTATGTGGATGTGTATTGCTCAGAATAATGTTTTGTGGCTGTCTTTGTTTTCTAGGCCCAGTGATACAGTCATCCTTTCCCATAAGGAGCATCTGCCTGTCACTCAGATAGTGACAACAAACACAGGCCAACGACACTCTGAAGCAAGCTTTACATTGGGGCCTCTGCTTTGCCAGGGGGACAGTAAGTGACATAAAGGAATTGTCCTGTCTCCTGAAAATACATGTCAGTGCTCTAGGAGGAATTTGGGTGCATGGGTTCTAACTCTATGCAATTAGCACTCATAAATGAAGTTTTACTATCTTACTTGTAAATGAAAACATTACATTTCTACTGGATGAGTGTTTTAAATTATTTTATGTTTTTAATACTTTAATTGAATCACCACGAGATTGAGAATTACAAAGCTGTTCATGATTGGGTTTCAGTCACACAATGTTCCAACACCCATCCTTACACCAGTGCACATTTCCCAGCATCAGTATCCCCAGATTCCCTCTCATCACTGCCCCCCACTCCCCTTCACTCCCGTCTGCTTCTATGGCAGGCACCTCTCTCTCTCTCTCTCTCTCTCTCTCTCTCTCTCTCTCTCTCTCTCTCTCTCTCTCTCTCTCCCACCTCTCTCCCTCTCCCTCTCCCACCTCTCTCCCTCTCCCTCTCCCTCTCTCCCTCTCTTTCTCTTCTCTTATTTTGGCCATTATATTTTGGAAAATAGTTACTAAAATGTTATGATGTATATTGATCTCTGATCTTCAGATGGTCCCAATTTTCAACTCTTGTTGTCACACTAGGCCCACCTCTAGCTTGATTACCCTTCATCCCCCACACACTTGTGGAGATTTCCAATCATTCACCAGTCCTCCTTGCTCCAGTTTTCCATGGCCTTGAATATTAGTTTCATACTATTTTTTTTGTATCCCAGTAATGAATGCAGTGATTCTATATCGTCCCTCTCCTTCTGACTCATTCCACTCCACATGATACTCTCCATTTCCGTCTATTTATAGGAAAATTTCATGACTTTATTTTTCCTGTGTAGCACTAGTTATGTAGATTTACTATAGCTTCTTTTTCTAGTCATATCTTCTTGTACACTCAAGTTGTTTCCAAACTCTTGCTATTGTAAATATTGTAAGTAGTGCTGCAATAAACATAGAAGTGCAGGTGATGTTTCTTCTTGCTTTTTTTTGGACCCATGTATTATGAGTTTTTAATGTAGTATCTAAAGAAAGTTACTATTTTGAGATTCATGGAACTGGAGCGTGGCAGCATATTTTAACACAATATGTCAAAAAATAAAGAAAATATTTACCCAACAATCTTACTTTACTAGTTATGTGTATGGTCACGCCATTCTTCCTGTTACTCCTTAGACTCTCACAAAAGTCATATAATTCATCAACAAACCTCACTGCTTCAATATCAAAAGTAGATCCATTATCCACCTCCATGCCCACATCTCTGGTCTGGATGTTGCTGGAACCCCATAACTGATCTTGATACTACCTCTGTTTACCTCACTGATACTGCACACAACTGTCAGAGGGAATGAGTCAGAACAACACAGTTTCCATATCACTCTCCTGTGTCACTGCTCTTATGGGGTGATCACCAGTATAGACCCAGGCAGCGCTGCCCCAGGGCCTTCCAGGATGTCAGTGGTGGCTGTGGAGCCAAAACCTTTGCTGGGGCCCTGTGTGAATGGGTGTTGTGTCAGGAAATCACAATATTCCAGCACTTTGCTTTTTTTTAAAATTTTTAATAGTGTGACATCATGAGATACAGTTGCAGACTTAGACATTTTTGTGCTTGGGTTTCAATTATACAATGATCAAATACCCATCCCTCCACCAGTGCCCATTTCCCACCAACACGGATCCCAGTATCCATCCCACCCCCCCATCTCCCCCATTCCACCCCGCCTCTGTGGAATTCCGTTTTGTTCTCTCTCTCTCTCCTTTTGGGTCCTGTGGTTTGCAAGAGAGGCACTGAGTGACAATCATGTTTGATCTATAGTCCACTTTCCGCATGCTTCTCCCATCCTGGGAGGATGCTCCCAACACCTTTATTTGGTGTTCCCTTCTCTATCTGAGCTGCCTTTTCCCCTAACATGTGTGGTTGGCCTCCAAGTCACGAAGTAAAATTCCTGGTACTAATCTCGGCCATTCTTGGGTGTTAGTCTCCTATTTCGTTACTTTATGTTCCCCAGATGAATGCAGTCTTTCCATGTCTATCCCTTTCTTTCTGAGTCATCTCAATTAACATGATACTTTTCATGTAGTACCACTTCTATGTAAATTTCATGATTTCGTCTTTTCAAACAGCTACATAGTACTCCATTGTGTAAATGTACCAAAGTTTCTTTAACCAGTCATCTGTTCTCGGGCACTCAGGTTTTTTCCAGATTCTGGCTATTGTAAAGAGTGCTGCAATGAACAAACGATTGCAGATGTTACTTCGACTATACTTTTTTGCCTCTCTGGGATATATTCCCAAGAGTGGTATTGCTGGATCAAATGTGAGCTCAATTTCTACTTTTTTGAGAATCCTCCATATTATTTTCCAAAAGAGCTGAACCAGTCGGCATTCCCACCAGCAATGAAGGAGGGTCCCTTTCTCGCCACATCAGTGCCAACACCAGGTGCTTTTGTTCTTTTGATGTGGACCGGCCTCTGTGATATGAGACGGTATCTCATTTGTGTTTTGATCTGCATCTCCCTGATGATTAGTGGTGTACAGCATGTTATCATGTGCCTTTTTGCTATTCAGATTTCTTCTTTGAGAAAGTTTCGGTTCACTTCATCACCCCATTTTTTGATTCGGTTGGATGTTTTTTCTTGTGGAGTTCAACGAGTACTTTGTATATCCTTGATATCAACCCCTTGTCAGATGGGTATGGGGCGAATATACTTTCCCATTCTGTGCACTGTCTTTGTAGTTTGGTCACTGTTTCTTTTGAGGTGCAGAAACTTCTTAGTTTAAGATAGTCCCATTTGTCTATCTATGTTTTCACTTGCTTGGCCAGTGGCGTGTCATCTTTGAAGATACCGTTAGCTTTGATATCGTGGAGGGTTTTGCTACCCTAGTCTTCAATGTACCTAATGGATTCCAGTCTGATGTTGAGGTCTTTAATCCATTTTGATCTTACTTTTTTCACATAGTGTTAGTAGAGATCTGAACCCATTTTTTTGCACGTAGCCATCCAGTTTTGTTGGAACAATTTGTTAAAGATGCTTTCCTTGCTCTACTTCACATTTCTTATTCCCTTATCAAAGATTAGATGATCATAAATTTGGGGGCAGATATCAGTATATTCAACCCTGTTCCATTGGTCTGCAGCTCTGCCTTTGTTGCTTTGTAGTAAAGTTTGAAGTTGGGGAGGTTGATTCCTCCAATATTCTTTTTCCCAAGAATTGCTTTAGCTATTGTTTCATATGAATTGCTCCGTTTCTTTGAAGTATGTCATGGGTATCCTTATAGGGATCTCATTGAATTTGTACAATGCATTGGGGAGTATTGCCATTTCGACCATGTTAATTCTCCTGATCCATGAGCCGGGGATATTTTTCCATTTCCTCATGTACTCTTTTATTCCCTGAAGTAGCCTTTTGTAGTTTTCTTTGTACAGGTCTTTTACGTCATTAGTCAAGCTAATTCCTAGGTACTTGATTTTCTGGGGCATAATTGTAAATGGGATCGTGTTTTTCATGTCACTTTCTTCTCTCTCACTATTTGCATATAGGAAAGCCATGGACTTTTGGGTATTGATTTTATAGCCTGCAATTTTACTATACAAGTCTATTGTTTCTAGGTGTTTCTTGGTAGAGGTTTTAGGGTTCTCTAAGTATACTATCATATCATCTGTGAATAGTGAGAGCTTGATTTCTTCCTTTCCTACCTGAATGCCCTTAATATCTTTTTCTTGCCTGACCACTATTGCAAGTACTTCCAGTACTATATTGAACAGAAGTGGAGAGAGTGAGCACCCTTGTCTCGTCCCTGATCTTAGATGGAAACCTCTTAGTTTTTCCTCAGTGATTATGATGCTTGCCATAAGCTTGTGGTAGATGGCTTTAACTATGGCTTCTATCCCAATTTTGGCGAGGGTTTTCATCATAAACGGATGCTGGATCTTGTCAAATGCTTTCTCTGTATCGATTGATACAATCATACGGTTTTTGTCTTTTCTTTTGTTGATATGATGGATTATGTTGATTGATTTCTGAATGTTAAACCATCCTTGAATCCCCTGGATGAATCCCACTTAGTCACATGAATGATATTTTTGATGAGTTTTTGAATTCTATTTGCTAGTATTTTCTTGACAATCTTCGCATCTGTGTTCATCAGGGATAACGGCCTTTTCTTTTCTTTTCTTTTCTTGTGATGTCTTTTTTCTTTTTGGTTTTAGAGAGATATGGGATTCATAGAAACTTTGGGAGAGTTTCTGTTTCTTCAATTTCTTGGAAAAGCTTGAGAAGAACTGGCAATAGGTCCTCTTTAAATGTTTGGAAAAATTCACTAGTGAATCCATCTGGACCTGAGCTTTTGTTTTTTGGAAGAATTTTGATTACAGTTTCAATTTCCTTGATGTTAATAGGACTCTTCTAATATTCTAGATCTTCTTGATTCAGCCTTGGGAGATTATAAGAATCCAGAAATTTATCCACTTCTTCTAGGTTCTCTTATTTTGTGGCATACTGACTTTCAACATAATCTCTGATGATCTTTTGAATTTCTTTGGTTTCTGTTGTGATATTCCCCTTCTCATTTCTGATTCGGTTTATTGGGGTTCTCTCTCTCCCTCTCTCTCTCCCTCTCTCTCTTTCTTTGTGAGTCTTGCTAATGGTTTATCTATCTTGTTTATTTTCTCATAGAACCAGCTCTTGGTTTCATTGATCTTTTGGATTGTTTTTTGTGTTTCCATGTTGTTAATTTCTACTCTAAGTTTTCTGACCTCTTTCCTTCTGCCGGGTTTGGGCTCCTTTTTTGGTCCTTTTCTAAGATCTTGAGCTGTAAAGTCAAGGTGTGTATGTGGGCCCTTTCTTCCTTTCTGAGAAATGCTTGCAGAGCCATAAATTTTCCCCTTAACGTGGCTTTAGCTGCGTCCCATAGGTTCTGGTAGCTCGTGTCTTCATTCTCATGTTTCCAGGTACCTTTTAATTCGTCCTTGACTTCCTTCCTCATTGTTCTACGTTGAGTTGTTTAATTTCCAGGTGTTTGATTTGGTTCTCCATGTCTGTGTGTGATTCGCTTCTATGTTCAGTGCATCATGGTTTGAAAAAAATGTTGATACTATTTCTGTCTTCCTGATTCTATTGAGGTATGTTATTTGGCCTAGCACGTGGTCAATTTTGAAAAATGTTCCGTGTTCCCTGGAGAAGAATGTGTATTCTTTCTTTTTGGGCTGTAAAGCCCTCTTAGGTCTATAAGTCCTCTCTATTCTGTTTCTTCCTTCAAAGTCATTTTTTCCTTGCTGAGTTTTATTCTTATTGATCCAGAGGTGATAATGTGATGTTGAAGTCTCCAGTGGCTACTATTGTCTTGCTAGCAATGTCCTTAAAATTGTTAGCAGTTGTTTAAAATATTTAGCTGTTCCCTCATTAGGTGCGAATACATTTAAGAGTGTGATTTCTTCCTGTTTTACATATCCCTTGATGAATAGAAAATGGCCTTCACTGTCCCTTCTAATCTTTTTCAACCTGAAATGTAAGTCGTTGAATACTAGTATGGCCACCCCAGCTTTTTTGAGGGAGCTTTTTCTTGCAGGATTGTTTTTCATCCTTTAACTTTGAGTCTGTGTTTGCTCTGACTGTTCAGATGAGTTTCTTGTAGGCAGCAGAATGTTGGGTTCTATCTCTAAATCCATTTTGCCACTCTGTGTCTCTTAATTGGTGAATTTAGATTGTTGACATTGAGAGAAATTATTTTATGGGGCTTTGTGTCATCTTTCTGTAAGGGTCTGTTGTGCTTTGTAGGGTTTGTCTTGTCTTATAGTAGCCCCTTTATCCCTTCTTTTAGGTTTGGTTTTGAGTCTATGAAGTTTCTGAGCTGTTGTTTATCCAGAAAATAGTGTACCGTTCCTTTCGTGTTTGAGTGAGAGTTTAGCCGGATAGAGTATTCTTGGTGAAGTGCTCAATTCAGTGAGTTTTTTCACTATATCCCACCATTGCCTTCAGATTTGGAGGGTTTTCTCTGATAGGTCTGCTGTGAATCTAAGAGGTGCTCCTTTGTATGTGATTTACTTCTTTGACCTTGCTGCTTGCAGTATTGTGTCTCTATCAGCAGCATCCACCATTCTATGCTATGTCTTGGAGTGTTATTGTTAGGGTTTCTTATAGCTGCCACCCTTTGGGCTCCTTGAATCTGAATGGCTGCATTGTCCAGCTCTGGGAATTTTTCAGCAATGATTTGTTTAATCGTTGCTTTTTTATTGGGATTGTTTCCCTGATCCTTGGTACTCCAACGATTCTAATGTTGTTCCTCTTGGAATCATCCTCTAGGACTCTGATTCGCTCTAGAGCTATTTTGAGGTCTGTTTCCATTGTTTTTTTGTTTTTTTGTTTGTTTGTTTATAAGCTTCGTGCAGCTGATCTTCCAGCTCACTGATTCTGTCTTCAGCTGTAGCCATTCTACTGTTGAGGGCACACACTGAATTTTTTATATCATCTACCGAGTCCTTCAATCATGACACTTCTGTCCATAGCTTTCCAATTTCTGCTCTCATTTCTTCCTGTAATTTCTCGATTTTCCGATCCATTGTTTCCGTCATGTCCTCCTTATTTTATTGGATAACTGTGTCACTGTTTCTTTGAGTTCATTGAACATCTTCATTACTTCATATCTGAATTCTTATCAGAGAGGTCCCTTAGGTGAGTAATACCTAATGAGGCTTCTGGACTCTTTTCATCATCCTCTTCTCATGGTGGGCATTTGCACTGTTTCTTCATGTTGGTAAGGTGGCATGGAGACTGAGAGTTATATGAGATTGCTGGGTATGATTAATTTACCTGTGGCCGCTCAGTCCAAAATTAGGTCATGCCTACTTCTGCGAGGCCACGCCCACTGTGGAAGAGGCCATGCACCCTATGGGTACCTGGTGTGTGTGAAGGGTACAACCTGAGGGATGGAGAGATCAGGTGTTGGGAATGAACAGGAAGAGGCTCAGGGATGATAGGCTCAGGGTCTTAGAGAACGTCTGGTGCACGTAGGCAGCGAAAGCGAAGTCTCAGGTTCGAATTAAGACTGACCTGAGGGATAGAAAGGTCAGACGCAGCGTTGGGGACGAACCTATTCTCACTGTTTGTATCCCTTCTTTTTCTAAACAGATTCGTTTTGGAATTCAGCTTCCTTCAATACTGAAACATCATACCTCCATTTCCCAGCATTCCGTGGAGAACTTAGTGCTGACATGTCTTTCTTTTTTAAGACCACAGCCCCTTCTGGAGTGTTAGTAGAAAACCTGGGAATCACAGACTTCATCCGGCTGGAGCTGCGTGGTGAGTGACCTTATCTGGACATAGCCACTGAGTACCCAATTATTAATAATGCCCCTTATAGACCTAATTTTTATAAGATGCCTGTTTCTTTTTCAGTTGTATTTCTCTATTAAATACTAAAATTCTATAATCGTTAATAATCATTTCAATAGTAAGGCAATGGATTGTGATATCCTATGCCAATTTTGTGTTGTGAATAGCAATTTGTATAATCAGAATTTGACACCAAATGGGCCAAATAGCATCCTACTAGGCTATGAAACTGTTTGATATAATTCATTAGGTATATTATAATTGTTTTGTGCAGAGGTTAATTTCTTGCTTCCAAAATTTCATACAGTGCATGCAATAAAGTTATGTGAAGATTTAAACCGTTTTTACATGAATACATTTGTCATATTAAACCAGGTAAATTGTTCAGTTTAGTACTAAATATTTAGTAATTACTTAGCAAGATGAATAGTGCACCTGAGAAGGAATATGCTAAAATAGTTTTGCTTTCTCCCTCCAGGTACAGACTTATTTTGCTCTTAAGCCAACTGGGAATGGCAGTCTGTTTTAGCCCAAGGTCCCCTTTAAGCGAGCATGTCACCATACTCTTCTCACATCTACTCAAGTCATGTTTTCTCCCTGTGAATGACCATAAGCAACTCACATCTATATTTCTAGCTTCTGCGGAAGTGACCTTTTCATTTGATGTGGGAAATGGACCTTGTGAAGTCAAAGTGAAGTCCTCTACCCCCTTGAATGACAATCGGTGGCACTATGTGAAGGCAGAGAGGAACATTAAGGAAGCAACTCTCCAAGTGGATCAGCTCCCTGTCAGAACCCAGTCGGGCCCTGCTGATGGGCACTCCCGCTTACAATTCAACAGCCAGCTCTTTGTTGGTGAGTGCTGTCATTCATAACTATGCAGTGCTTGGAATAGATTCAATGACCAAGAGACAATGGTTACTATAAATAGTTACCATAGCAATGGCAAAACAATACTACTATGGGCTCCATGATCTCAGGTCTCCATATTTAACATATAGTGTTGGGTGGAGATCCAGAGGGATCAAGGGTCTTGACCACATATACAACCAAAAGAAAATTCTAAACTTGTATTGAACTGTTTCCCATGTTTGCACTCAATATCATATAGATAGAGTCTATTTGTATTTCTTTCAGTCACTTTTTAACAATGGTTTTTATAAAACTCTTGACCATTTTTGTCTATTTCTCCTACTTTGCCTCTCAGGGGAGTTAGAGAACATGCACTGTAACTGGGACCCAGTCATCATCTGTCTCCTGGGAAACAGATCTGAGGGGTCATGCAGACATCGCTCAGGGTGTTTATCCATGAATGACTCTCATCAGTCTGAGCCTCAATTCTCTCTGCACCTCCCTTTGGTCCCATATCATGCACCATAATTAGGGCCCAAGCTTTCTCCTTTTTCCTCATAATCCTTTTCTAAACATTAAATATCTGAGTCTTAGAAATATTCTCTCTTAATTTTCGTGCTTATTGTTTCACTGCTGTTAGTTTCTTCAATGGGGTAAAAATGATTTTCGCTACATTACATTTCAGACAATAGTAGTGTGATTTGGAAACTAAGCAGATTAAAGGATTCACTCTTACTTGGCTTTTTTTTTATGTTTTACATGAGACATTTCTAAGTAAATAAGGACACAACCCAATTAGATACAGACAAAAATCACAAACTAGCATACAGTCTGTTTTGCCAGAGTATACCTCCAGCATCTATGAGTCTAATGCCATGCAGTGAGTTAAACTATGTGTGTATACAGTTCATGGAATCATAAAATTCAACTTCAAGCATAATTAGTTCTTACCGAGCTAGAGTGTCCTTCAATTAATTATTGCAGATTATACTAAATAGCTCTATCTTCCGATTTCAAGTCTAGAGAAAGAACTAATGAAATGTTAAATTTTAAAAAAGAATTTATGAAAAATCTACTCCAAATTAACATTATCCCCTAGGGTAATATTACTGAAGCCTGAGAACTTAGCTGAAAATTCACATTTTGGGTAACTCCCATATCCCAGTATTGAGTTGAATCTCTAGAATGAGCCCTCAGATCTGTTTTTAAAACAAGCTTCCAGCTTTCACCTATGCTCCCAACTGTCACTGTTACTGTCCTCCCATTGTTCATTGATTTGCGCGAGAGGGTCTAGTAACGTCTCCATTGTAAGACTAGTTGTGACTGTGTTTGGCATATTGAATACATCACAGGTAGCTTGCAGGCTTTGTCGTGCAGGCAAGATACTCTCGGTAGCTTGCCAGGCTCTCTGAGAGGGGCTGAGGAATCGAACCTGTGTTGGCCTGGTCTGCCATGCACAAGGCAAACGCTTTACCCACTATGCTATCGCTCTAGCCCCCAACAGGTAAGAATAATTGTCTTAGGCTTACATAAGATGTGATCAATGGAAAGTATTTATTATTCAGGTAGTATTCAAACCATCCAGCTTCAGATTGTTATGATAGATAAGATAAGCTTAAACCATAGATATTGTCTCAAATTTCTTTTTCTTTGCTCTTTCCTTGATTCCTTTCTAAAGCTTCATTAATAGAGAGATCTCTAATATAAATATTTGTGTTATATAAAGAAAAATTTTAGATATGCTATTTGTATTATTATATAGTTCAATATATGATAGTCAAAACAAATTATAAAATTATATTATTACATATTCACAGTCATGGTCCTCCAGTTGTTCATCGATTTGCTTGAGTGGGCCCAATAACGTCTCCATTGGAGACTTTGTTGTTACTGTGTTTGGCATCGAATACATCATGGGGAGCTTGCCAGGCTTTGCCATGCCGGTGGGAGACTCTCGGTAGCTTGCCAGGCTCTCCGAGAAGGGCTGAGGAATCGAACTCAGGTCGGCCATGTTGGCTGCGTGCGAGGCAAATGCCCAACCGCTGTGCTATCGCTCCAGCCCAGCAATAATGATATTAATTACATAATAAATCACAAAGATTACAAAACAATGCACATAAATTTGCAATGCATATTTATATTTCAAAATTACAACTGTAATATTTTCTATGCATTCTAATCTATAATTTTATAATATATTGGAAAGATTTTTAATTATGTAACTGTATTCCACACATATTTCATTGAGTATAAATTTTGAAAAGGATCACTTTTCAAAGGATCACTTTGAAAGGATTCCTTTATAAACAATGATAGTTTATATTTCATTGTTTATAAAGGAATGAATGTCAAAAATCAAAATGAAACATGAAAAATACTGTTAGAATATGTAACCATATTGTTTCCATATTGTCGTTTGATGATTTTTAAATAGACTAGAGTCTATATTTTCAAAACCACATATGATCATAACACGTGGGGCAGTATTTTAGTGTTAGTACTGTCATATATTTGCCCTGGAATATTAGCATGGCAAGACACAGGACTATGACACATCTGGGTTGTTTCTCTGGCAGGAGGTACAGCAACCAGGCAGAGAGGATTTCTGGGGTGCATCCGGGCCCTGCGTTTGAATGGGCTGGCCTTGGACTTGGAAGAAAGAGCCACAGTGACCCCAGGTGTGGATCCAGGATGCCCAGGTCACTGTGCTAGCTATGGACATCTGTGCCACAATGGAGGCCTCTGCCAGGAGAGGCTAAGGGGGTTTGTGTGTGACTGCACCTCCTCTGCTTATGATGGGCCCTTCTGCTTCCATGGTGAGTGGAACCCGGGACAGGGCTCCTGGGGATGGAAAACACAAAATAATGTTGTAGTATATGGCTTGCAGAAACATCTCCCTGGGCTCTGTCTCCATCTTGCTGTTTAACTGGAGAAGAGACCAGGTTCAGTTTGCAGACCTCGAAGACTATCCTGTGAAATCTTGGTGCCAGTCCTCAGAGGCCCCTCAGTGCAGTGTCACGAGGAGACCCATAACCTCCAACTCTGTCTGAACTGGATTTTCACATGGATCACTCCAGTGCAATTAAATATTACAAATAGTTAATATGTACATAATTATAAAAAATATAATATTATATATAATATGTACATAATTTCATGGAGTGATAGCAGAGCGGTAGGGCGTTTGCCTTGCACGCAGCCAACATGGCCGACCCGAGTTCAATTCCTCCACCCATCTTGGAGAGCCCGGCAAGCTACCGAGAGTATCTCGCCCGCATGGCAGAGCCTGGCAAGCTCCCTGTGACGTATTCGATATGCCAAACACAGTAACAACAAAGTCTCCAATAGAGACGTTACTGGGCCCACTCGACGGGAGGGCCTTTACCTTACGAAGCATGTTGGATTACCAATCAATGTCATTTGATTTGGGTCTATGATGGGATTAGTTATTTTGTATCAATATTGCAAATTTTGACTATTTACACTGAATTAATATTGGTCTATAACATTATGTAGTTTTTAGTATATATAGACAGTAATTTATATATAATCATATATATATACACAGTAATAAATATAAAGGACTTCATAACCTGAGGTATAGTGAAAAGTTCCATCTTCCCTTCTGGTAAATGCTATTTTGCTTCTATAGTCTACAAGTTGATTTGGATCTAGGAAGATAAATAGAAAGTTGAATTGATTTATTCATTTGTTTATTTTCTTTAGCTGCTACATGTGTGAAATCATCTAGTTTTTAGTTATCTGTTTCAATGAGTATGATAACCTCTGGAGCCATCGATGTTTTTGCAATTGACATGAATTCATTTTTCAGAGCTGAATAACGTTCTCTCATGAATTCTGCACACAGCATCTTTATTTATTCATTCATGTATGGGCACTTAGATTGTTTCCAGCCCTTGGTGATTATGAATAATGATGTGATGAGCAGGGATTTGCACATGTCTAATAAATATATCTCTTTACATGGATATGTGCACATTCTTCAGGTAATGACACAACTGTGCAATCACTGAATAATATGGTAATTCTATTTTTAAGTTTTGAAATACTATTTTCCCAATTAGCATTGGCTATCCATTATAGACAATACATAATGGATAAACAATACATGATGGCTACTTGAATTAGCATTCCCAATAATAGAATTTAAACTTTTAATGTGAAAGCCCACACACACGAGTAGGTAAGACATCTGAGGGCTAGTTGCACCTGTAGGAGGAAGGGATTCAATCACAGCACCAAATGGTCCCTTGAGAACTTCCCTAAGTGATGCTTGAGCACTGAGTGTAGAGAAGCCTGAACACTGCTGAGTGTGGCCCCCAAACCAAAATATCCAAACTAAATTTAAACAAGAAAACATGTAAAAATGATGTCACTCTTGTTTTCTCTCTTAGGTAGTCTTTAAATATAAATAGATCAAGACTCTTGCATTTAACCATAATGCTCAAAAGGAGAGAGAGGGACAGAGACAGAAAGGCAGAGACAGAGAGGAAAAGAGTATGCCATTGAGGCAGGTTGGAGAAGAGGTGTGGGGGAGGGAACGAGTTGGAAATGTACACTGATGGAGAGATGGGTGTTGAAACATTGTATGAAATGCAAGCATGAATAGCTTTGCAACTATACATCACAAGGCCTCAATTTTTAAGTCTTTGGCTTTTACATATAACAGTTATATGTGTGCCATTCCAGAGGTTTCTGCATATTTAAGAACTGACTCATCAATCACTTACAGTTTTCAAGGACCTTACCACCACACCCCCAGCACGAACACCAGCTCCTTTGCAACTGGATCCCATGAGGATCTAACACTGACAGGAGAAGAGACCGCGATAAGCTTCAGGACAACAGGGCTTCCCTCCCTACTGCTCTTTGTTGGGGCCTTCTCAGAGGAATACTTTTCTGTGATCCTCACCACAAATGGTGAGTGTCTGTAGTGTAAGACTAAAAAGAATGAAATTGAAAGTTAGCACCATGCAGGGATGGGTTCTTTTCATGTTAAGGTGCAACATAATTGGGTGGCCTACACATCTCTATTTATTAGGCTTCACTTATTGTCACAAATAAGTGTAAATAATGTCCACATTTTAATGAATAAACAAATGAGTCTTCCATAAAATGCTGATCATTTTATGAGATCAACATAAAACTACTCCCAGGATGTATTTTTCTGTTCAGTAATAATCTAAATGACTTTTTCAGGTAATTTGGAAACAAATTTTTTATCTGGTATGTAAATTTATTAGCATTTTTTATTGAATCACCTTGAGATATAGTTACAAAGCTTTCATAATTGAGTTTCAGTCATAAATTTTTTCACCACAGATGTCCCCAGTATCCACCCCCACACGACACCAACCCGTCTCTATGGCAGACAATTTTATTCTTACTCTCTCTGTACTTTTGGGCGTTATGGTTTAGATATAGATACTGAGAAGTCATCATGTTTGGTCCTTTATCTACATTCAGAAAACATCTCCCAGTCTGAGCTATCCCTCCAACCATCATTGACTTAGTAATCACTTCGCTATCCTGGCTGTCTTCTCCCCCAGCTTGTAAGGCAGGATTCCATCCTTGGAACAATCTTCCTGGCCCTTGACTCTACTGTCTTTGGGTGTTAGTCTTATTTTATGTTATTTTATATTCCACAAACAAGTGCAGTCATTCTATGTCTGTCTTTCTCTTTCTGACTCATTTCAGTCAGCATGATACTGTCCATGTGCATTCACTTATAAGGATATTTCATGACATTATCTTTCCTAACAGCTGTATGTTATTCCATTGTGTATATATACCAAAATTTATTTAACCCTTCATCTGTTCTTGGGCACATGTGTTATTTCCAGACTCTGGTTATTGTGAGCAGCGTTGCAATGAACATACAGGTGCAAATGTCATTTCTACTGTGCACTTTTGCACCCCGGCATATATTCCCAGAACTGGTATTGCTGGCTCATATGGAAGCTCAGTTTCTAGTTTTTTGAGGTATGCCCATATTGTTTTCCAAAAAGGCTGGACCAGTCAGCGTTTCTACCAACAATGAAAGAGAGTTCATTTATTCCCACATCCTCAGCAGCACTGCTTGTTCTTGTTCTTTTTGATGTGTGTCAGTCACTCTGTTGTAAGATATATTATTGTTGTTTTGATTTGCATCTCCCTGATGATTAGTGATGAAGAGCAGTTTTTCATGTGTCTTTTGGCCATTTGTATTTCCTTTTTAAGGAAGTTTCTGTTTATTTCCTCTCCCCATTTTGGTGCTGTTGGAGGATTTTTTTGGCACAGATCTACTAATGTCTTGTATATCCTATGTATTAACAACTTACTGACAGGTATTGGATAAATAATTTTTTCCAATCAGTGGACTCTCTCTGTAATTTGGTAACTGTTTTTTTGTTCAGTGTAGAAGCTTCTTAGTTTAATGTAGTCCAATTTGTTTATGTTTTCTTCCACTTGCTTGGCCAGTGGTGTTTAATCCTTAAAGATGCCTTTAGCTTCAATTATAGTGGAGGACTCTGCCTACATTTTCCTCCATGTGCCTTATGGATTCAGGCCTGATGCTTAGGTCTTTAATCCATTTTGATCTAACTTTTGTGCTTGGGGTTAGACTGTTAGGACGCGGATCCTGATCTCCCTTTAACAACAAAAAGACTCCAGAAACTGCAAACAGCAAGCAAGGTTTATTGTAAGACTGGCTAGCCAGGGTCAAGCCGCCTACACAGACATGCAGGTCAGATAGGTGAGGCAAGACCCCGAACTTCTTCAAAGGGGATCTTACATAGGCCTTCACTGGCCATTACAGCAAAGCCCGTGCATTTCATAGCCAATAGATTTGTAACAACATATACTTTCTTAACCAATCCATTTAAAAGTACATTACTCCTTAGCCTATAGATTCAAAGATCAGCATTTACATACATAGGCATTGTGGCTAGTGGGCTACTGGGTAACTTGGACATTTGGTTATCACCAGGCTCAATTTGATTTGGTGGAAGAGGATAAGGGAAAAGTTCCTAACAGAGGTAACAGAGAAGGAAGGGCCAACAAATGGTTTCTGAATTTACATCCCAGCAGGGAAGAGTCAACAAATGGTTTCAGAATTTACATCCCAATAAGGAAGGGCTTCACAGCTAAGGCTCTACTAGGGAGGGGGAAGGAAATGGAGAGTTACTAAGTAGTAGAGTTTTAACTCTGGAATCTCCCTCAGGGTCCCAAGGGACCTTGCAAGACAGAGATCTGAGCTCAATTTTTTTTCAGATAACTATCCAGTTTTCCCAGCACCACTTGCTGAGGAGGCTTTCCTTGCTTCACTTCACGTTTCTTGCTCCTTTGACAAAGGTTTAGTGATCATATACTTGAGTGGCTGTGTCAGAATATTCAACTCTGTTCCATTGGTCTGCAGGTCTGTTTCTAGTCCAATACCATGCTGTTTTAATTACTACTGCTTTGTAGTACAGTTTGAAGTTGGGGAAGATGATGCAACCTATCTACTCTTCCCCAAGAATTGCTTTAGCTATTTGTGGGACATTATTTTTCTATATGAATTTTATGAATGTTTTGTCAATTTTTTTAAAGAATGTCATGGGTACCCTTATAGGGACCACATTGAATCTGTATAATGCCTTGGGGAGTAGTGTCATTTTGGTAAGGTTAATCCTCCCGATCTATGAGCAAGGGATAGGTTTCCAGGAAATAAGATATTTTTTACATAAAATATTTCCTCCATCTAAGCAAGGAGCTGCATTAAACCTCATAAAAGATAGTTTTATTTGGTTTAAGGGGCCAAAAGATAGCACAGCATGAAAGAAACTTGTCTTACACCAGCTAACCTGGGTTTGACTCCAAGCAGTGCAAATGTTTGCATGGTATGACAAGGAGCCATCTCTGAGCTCAGAGTCCGGAGTAAGCTCTGAGCACCACTGGGTAAAACCGGAAAAGAAAAGATAAGCTAACAGGGGCTAGTGTGATAGGACAGTATGTAGGCTGCTTGCCTTGCACTCTGTGAATCTGTATTCTGATCCCTGGCAATACATATGTTCCCCTGAGTGATACATGAGTATAGAGAAAGGAGTAAATCCTGAGCATCGCCAGGAGAAATTCCTGAGCACCACCAAGTTTGGTCTAACCACCACCCCCGAAAAAAAAATAAAAGAAGAAAGCAAACAAAGTATGCTGATATCCATAAGTATGAGATGAATAAGATTTACCTAACTCATCACTTATTTATGTCATATCTGTATCCAAAACGAAGCGAGTTATTACTCAACACTTGATTACCAAATCAGTCTAAGATGCTCAGTTAGAGAAAAGAATCAGGCTACAACCTTGCTTCCTTGAGCATGTGGAAGCTGAGTGCTCAGAAAGCTTGCTATTATCTCTCACTGATTACTTTAGAAGGAGAGAGTAAAGAAGAGGAAGTTTCCCTTCCAAGGAGGAAAGCAGAGGGACAAAAGAGTGATAGTACACTCTTCAGAGGGATTTGCATATCATGGCAGATCACTAACATCTATCTTATTTTTCCTGTTTCTTGATTCTTCAGAAACATTAGTAGAAAATTTGAGCAATTGCAAAACTTAGTTATGCAAATGCAGATAGCACAGTGATAGGGCGGTTTGCCTTGAATGCAGTCAGCCAGGCTGAGTCAGGTTCAATTCCTCCACCCTTCTCGGAGAACCTGGCAAGCTACCAAGAGTATCTTGCCCACACGGAAAAGCCTGGGAAGTTACCTGTGACATATTCAATATGCCAAAACACAGTAACAACAAGTCTCAAAAAATGGAGATGTTACTAGGCCTGCTCGAGCAAATCGATGAACAACGGGAGGACAGTGTTTCAGTGTTTCAGGTACTGATTTAAAATGCATCAAAATAAGCAACATTAAAAGAAGTTATGTTTATGGAAAGTGAATGTTAATGTATTATTGCCAGAGGTTTTATCATTTAGTAATATGAATACCACATGAATAATTAACTGAGAACCAAGCTTTAATTTTCTTATGTTTAACTTAAGTTTCTACCTTATGTAAGAAAAACTGAAAAAAGAGACATTTTAGGCCAGTGAGATAGTACAGTGGTGGTGTGCTTCCCCCTATGTAGTTCAGTCATCAATAGTACATGGCTCCCTGAGCCCTGCCAAGATTAAGCCTTGAGCACCCACAGGTGTGACCCAAAAGGTAAAAACACAATATAAATGAGACAGTTAGGTCATTACTATTGAAATTAAGAGTAAAATAGGGCACTCTGAATTTGGCCTTCAGGGCTGGAGTGATAGCACAGCGGGAGGGCGTTTGCCTTGCTCGCAGCCAACATGGCCGACCCGAGTTCGATTCCTCTGCCCCTCTCGGAGAGCCCGGCAAGCTACCGAGAGTATCTCGCCCGCACGGCAGAGTCTGGCAAGCTCCCCGTGACGTAGTGGATATGCCAGACACAGTAACAACAAAGTATCCAATGGAGACGTTACTGGGCCCGCTCAAGCAAATCGACGAACAACGGGAGGACAGTGACAATGACAGGATGTGTACACAAAAAGATCAAAATCCAGTAAATTACAACAACCCTGGCACAGACATAATCCAGAAGACATAGGTTCAATAAACACTTGTGCTTTGGTTTACTGTCTCTTAGGATGGAAAAGCTTATATCTAAAAAAAAAGCCATTCTATACTGGGGTCCTTTTCACACAAGTGAGTGCTGTTCTGATCAGTGGAAATTTTAAGTGGTCACAGGTCATATTTTAGTCCTGGTTTGTCTTGGGTTTTCTTACAAGCCCACCTGCAGGTTCCTATTCCTGCCTCGAACAGCCTGGTGAAAGCCTGATTCTGGGTCTTTCCCCAACTCAGACTGGCTCTATTGAATAGAAATATTAATTATCAGGTGAGCCCAAATAAATAAATTTAGATTTAAATTGAACTGAACAACAAGTAAAAGCTTTAGGTTTCACACTGGAAGGGGTTTTTTTCCTTTTCTCTTTATGAAATTCTGTTTTAGTTTAAAATGCCGTTTCCCCCTTCTTTAGGAAGTTTGCAGATCACATATAAACTAGACAGACACCAGGAACCTGGTATTTTTAATCTTGGCTCTAAAACTATGGCTGATGGGAAACTTCATCGGGTGACAATTAGCAGAGAAGCAGCCGCAGTCTTTGTAGAGGTAAGACAGTAAACGCAACAGCATCAATAGTGATTTAGAATGTGACTTTCAGAGAAGTGGTCCATTTGATAATAAATGCTAAGAAAAGAGCTATGCTTTTGGCAGACTTCCATAGTTCTTTCAAGGACAATAAACAGCATGTTTTATTGTTTGATATTAGTTGTTATTTAGCCTATTAAATGTAATTAATATGTGACCATTTAAAATACTCAGCTGTCCTTTTCTTTGGTATGGAAATGTTGTCCAGCTTATCACAGTGACTATTGGTCCCATTCCTAAGGGAACATTTTCCACTGGATGACAAAAGAATCAGTGCTACCAGTATTTTAATTCAACAGAGAAAGTAAGACCCGGCTGAGAGTGAGAATATATTTTTAAAATGACTATTTAAATTATGCATTTGAAAAGTGTTTTGAAGAATAATCTATATATTCAATCACTATATTTGTTTTCTGTACATGGTACAATACAGATTATTTTGGGCCATTGAGAACAAAACATGAAGTATCATAGTAAAGGTGATAAATAGCCACAAAAGATTCCCCCATAACACTTAAATATCAATAAAATAAATGGTCTGCATATGATCAAAATAGATAAGCAGTGTCTTTCAAAGCTTATTTCAATTTAATTCTTGGTAACAAGGTAAAATTTAAATGTATAATGAATTTTATATCTAGACTAGAGAGATAGTACAGTGGACACTATCTCCTTTTTGAAATTTCCTTTTGAAAATAATAAAAATTTTAAGATTTGAAAAATTTTAAGATTTCATTACATTTCTTTGTTGATTATATATCTATTTCATTACATTTCTTTGTTGATTATATATCTATGGTAGGTACTTAACCGGGGGGGAAAAAATTAAGGGACAGGGTGGAGTAGAATTTGATATATTATGAAAATTTTCTATAAAACAGCTTTCTCCCTTGATCTTTCTAATATCATTAACATATGTTTTGATTTTTTAAATGATTTTTGTCTCATTTTTATTATCAAAATTGATCACCGTTTTGAATGGACAATGCTGGTGGACGTCTAATAGGTTAACCAGAATACAAGGACACATGTCATCCTGTCCTCGGGGACCGAATTCAATGCAGTCAAATTCCTGACACTGGGGACAATTTTCGGTAAGTGTCAGAATGCTGTCACTTCGTGATGAGGATCTGAAGTGTTAGGATAAAGACCCAGAAGGTGTTTGCCATGTTGAAAGGAATTCCTTCTCATATTTATGATATCCCAGGGAGTGAAAAATTCTCAGAAGCTGTGACCTTGTCTCGGGGACAAGTAATCAAGAATAAGTGCTTCTGACCTTTCCACACACAGCCTTTGCTTAATAATCAAGCAGAATGAAGGTTGGTTGTTTTTGTCTAGCAATTAGGAAACACTAAACTTCTTGGTTTCTACTCTATAAACCAAGCTCACACTGATAAAAATCAGGCATCAATAAATGACTTATTGATAAAGCTAGATTTTTACACTTTAGAAAGGATGATTTTTACTTTAGCCAATAAGTATGCTTTGGGTCCTGTTTTGCCTGGGAAGGGGGTGAAGAGGAGAGGTGCCTTTATTGTCCCAGGTAGTGCTGTACCATGGCTCTGGTCCCCTCCCCTGTTTTTAATAAGAATTTTTTTCATTGACTACTGCAAGTTTTGCATCCTACGCTTAACTCATATTCATTCATGTATTTCCCCATATATTAAAACAATTTTTGCACGGCAAAGCCTGGCAAGCTACCTGTGACATATTAAATATGCCAAAATCAGTAACAACAAGTCTCACAATGGAGATGTTACTGGTGCTCGCTCAAGCAAATCGGTGAACAACAGGAGGACAGTGCTACAGTAGCAAATTACAGATGTGATATTCTACAAAATACCTTCATGACCACTATTCACTCTCTTCAGATTCATGATAATCTCTTATTTGAAGATGATTTTTTCCCTTTGGTTTTTGGACCCACCCAGTTGTGCTCAGACTAACTCCTCACTCTGGCCTCAAGGATTACTCCTGGGAGGCGTCAAAGGACAATAGGTGGCCCAGCAATGAGACCCAAGCTGCCTGCATGCGAGGAAAATGCCCCACCCACTGTACTGTCTCTTCACCTCTGGATATAAAACTCATTATACATTTAAATTTTACCTTTTCATCAAGAATTAGTTTAAAATAAGCTTTGAAAGGCATAGTTTATCTTTCTGGATCATATATAAGATATTAATTTTATTGAGATTTAAGTGTTATGGGGGAAAACCCTTTGTGGCTGTTTATTACTTCTGCTATACTTCATATTTTGTGATCAATAGTTCAAAAGAGTCTGTATTATCTTTTCAGTCAATGATATACTGTTTCTTTAGGTCATTTATTTTACCCCAATTTTAAAACGATTATTTAGGCACTATGACTTATACTGTTATGAATAATATCTCTGTATACTGTTAAGAGTAATGTTACTATACCTTGTTGCTACTCCTGTTCTGGACATCCCAGTTGTATACATGTGCATTAGTTAAAACTTGAGATTAGGAAAAGCCCATGAATGGATAATAAAAATACACAGTAACTGTAAATTCTATCATGACTTTTGGTCAGACAATGGACAAATATTATGATTTCTTATTTTATGGACAAAGGAAATATTACAAATTCTAGTTCTTTGCCAGGGCTCTTGTGAAGGTGACAAGGCACAAGTGGTGATGCAGCTTAAGTGAAATCTCTAGTTGCAACTGTTGAAGATCCAGATTAAACTAAATCAGGAGTGTACTTTACCTCTTGATTGAGCTAGTTTAGAGTTTTAATCCCAGATTAAACAGATTAAACTAGTTTGGGAGATTCGTGACTTCTTGACTTGCTCTAGTGGTGGTTCTGTATTATAAAGGTGCCTTAAAAGTGGATAAAGACTTTCTTGATTCTTTGACCGAAAGGCAGCTAACATTTAGGCTCCTGTTTGAGGTCACTCTTCTAGTTCCATTCCTCTTTTGTGGATACACTGATGGATCAGTTTGCTCAGGAATGAAGATGGGAGCAACTATTTCCCATTTGGAATAGGAGACACTTGCAGCTACAGAAGTGCAGTTGTAGAATTGAGCATCTGAGTTCCAATATATGACTTTGACTAAATTTCTTGGTCATCTGTATTCCCTATTTTTTATGATGTAGTTGAATTTTGTACTTCTATCTAAAACACTTACACAGTATAAGAAATGACAAAGAACTGGAAAACCACTGAAAGAAATAAACTGATCGCCTAGCATTCAGTAATGATAACAACAGCAATGCATATAGATATAATAAAATTCTTAAAAGGACAAAGATAAAAATCAAAGACCACATTTACCTTAGAGAACTGTGGAATGGACCTTCCTCCCTAAAGACTGTGCTCAACAAAATGACGTTGCTGAACATATTATAAGAAGTAAATTTACTATAACTGTTTAAATGGAGCTTTTAACATCCAAGTGGAGGAAATTTTATCCAAGTAGATGAGAACATTTTTATGAGAAGAGTTCCTTTTTTAAAATTTATCATTGAGCTCTTTGGGTGCCCTAATGCTAGTTATATTTGAGAAGACTTAGTAATAGATTATTTCCAGTAATCCATGAGACCACCCAGAGCCACACTTAGAAAATATGCAGTCTCTGAGTGGAATTTTGGTTTTGTCTACCCCCAGGAGCTGATTTCTTTCTCAATGCCAGAAGAAATGTCTAGATGTACTTTCCCCCAAGTCATTACGACAGGCATTTTCAATGAACAAAATAAATAAAGACACAATTTCCTATTATCAGTGACTCCACTGTCTGTGAGGAGAAAGGAGGCATGTTCAGAAGTTTCCATGATTCAAGATAGAAAATTGCTATTACTAAGTGTAAAATTGAAAAAAATTTTTCAAGACAATAAAGAAGTATGTGGTTAACTATGAAAAGTGATTTAACCACATTTTTGAAGGAGATCATTTTAATTAAAAAGTAAAATGATAAAGTTCATTATATACATTTGAATTTTCCTACAAGTTTAAATATGGTAAAGGCCCTCCCGTTGATCGTCGATTTGCTTGAGCGGGCCCAGTAACGTCTCCATTGGAGACTTTGTTGTTACTGTGTTTGGCATATCAAATACTCTCGGTAGCTTGCTGGGCTCTCCGAGAGGGGCGGAGGAATCGAACTCGGGTCGGCCATGTTGGCCGCGTGTAAGGCGAACGCCCTACCGCTGTGCTATCGCTCCAGCCCTTAAAGGCCCTCCTGTTGTTCATCGATTTGCTCGAGCAGGCCCAGTAACGTCTCCATTGGAGATTTTGTTTCTATGTGTGGCATATCGAATACGTCACGGGGAGCTTGCCAGGCTCTGGCGTGCGGGCGAGATACTCTCGGTAGCTTGCCCGAGAGGGGCGGAGGAATCGAACTCGGGTCAAACATGTTGGCTGCATGCAAGGCAAACGCCCTACCGCTGTGCTATCGCTCCAGCCTAAATGTTAGCTGCCTTTCAGTCAAAGAATCAAGAAAGTCTTTATCCACCTTTAAGGCACCTTTATAATACTGTGTTTGGCATATTGAGTACATCACGGGTAGCGTGCACTTTTTTCTTGTAAGCTGTTTTCATCCACTCAGCTATCCATTTGCTAAAAATAACCATTTTATCTTTTGTCCTTATATGACCAATTTACTATTGTTATGTACTATGACTTTCCTTTGGAAAAAGATAATTCAGCATTATTGTCAAATCAATGTACTCTCTTTTTCCCTATTTTTAATCAGTTTTATTAGTGATGATTAATTAGGTTCTTTCTCAAGGTTCTATATAATAACAGCTTAATCCTAATTTAAATACAAATCATGGGCCCAGACCCAACCTCAGGGCCTTGCAAGACCCCAGCGCCAGCAGAGGCAAATGCGGAGCACTGCCAAAAGATGGCGCCCAGAAACGTCAGGAGCACCTCAGAGGGTATTAGATGACAGCATCAGGGACATAAGCGGCCCCTCCCACCCACAGGTATGGCAGCATGCTTTGTGTAGCCTCCGAGCGGCAGCTTATTTCCCCCTTTCCCAGCACATTGGACTCACAGCTAAACCTCCATTTCCTTATTCTAAAGTGGACATCCTGACTATCCCAAACACATTAGGCTATAGACCACTGGCCTAGTCCAATCAAAGTATACTGAAACAGCCACCTCCATCAACCAAGCTCATCCAGAATCCTTTCTCAAAGCAAGAGAAGAATACTGATAGTGAACAGGAAGGTCCCACCTCCATAACACCACAACAACTTGAAGAAACAATCCCCACCACGGGGAGAGGATGAAGAAGAGTCCAGAGTGCTCAACAGGAATTACCCACAAATAGGATGTCTCCGAAAAAGAATTCAGAGATGAAATGTTGAAGATGTTCAATGAACTCAAAGAAAAGGTGGAACATATACATTCAGCAAGTTAAAGGAGGACATGAAACGAATAATGGAATGGACAGCCAATAAAACTCAGGAAGAAATGAGAGCAGAAGTAAAAAAGCTGCAAATAGAAATGTCACAAATAAAAGCATTGGTAGGTAAAATAAAAAACTCAGTGGGTGCCCTCAACAGTAGAATGACTACAGCTGAAGACAGAAGAAGTAAGCTTGAAGATGAGCAGCAGAAAGCTTACAGGCAATAACAAACAATGGGAAAAGACCTCAAAATACCTTTAGGATGAATCAGAGTCCTAGGGAGTGAAGTCAAGAGGAACAACACGAGAATCATTGGAGTACGAGAAGGACAGGGAGGCAAACCCAATGAAAAAGCCACAGTTAAAGATATCATCACCGAGAAGTTCCCAGAGCTGGAGAATGCAGGCATCCAGATCCAAGGAGGCAGAAGTGTGCCAGCTAAAAGAGACCTAATAAAAAGGCATATCATAGTCAGAATGATGGATGCCATGGGTAGAGACACAATAATGCAAGCAGCAAGGTCAAAGAAGGAAATCACATACAAAGAATCACCCCTTAGATTTACAGAAGTCCTATCAGAGGAAACCCTTCAAGCCCAAAGATAATGGTGGGATGTAGTGAAGAAAATCAATGAAATTAACACCTCACCAAGAATAATTTATCCAGCTAAACTTTCACTCAAACTTGAAGGAACTATACACTATTTCATGGATAAACAA